AAAAAATTATGCATGGAGGCTGGTCCATAGTGGATGGTAGACTCTTTTTAATATGCTTATTTATACCGAGTAATAAATTCAATAAAACGTCATTCTATGAAAAGAACAAAAAAAAGTACGTGTGGTTGGTTTATACGGAGTAATAATGTTATTGACAAAAAGGAAATCAAGATCAGACAAAAACGAGTAAATATATTATGGCCCCATTTGACATCATCGTTATAGATTAGCATTAGCATTTTGATACGACTATTTGACGGTAAAATTTAGCGTTAGCGTTTTTAGAATTAATCAGACCGTTAAAATTTTAATCAAAATGCTAACATTATTTGAATACACTCTACCCAAACAAGACCTATATCTAGTGATACCATATATGTTCGCCTAGTGTGATCTTTTTCAAGTTAAACGGAACGAAGTCTAAAATTTTTCAATAAAAAATTACATTACTTATTACAATTGAAAACATTATTTCACTAGATTTATTTTAACTTGGAGGATATTTTTGTCCAAAAAAGCTACTCCCTCATTTCGTTGTATTAGTTCTTCCTTCTATATTGGTTCTTGTTTTGACTTAGACTCAATTTTTAGTGTAGCATGATAGAATGTTTGACTTTTTATTTTTTCTCTTGGTAGTGTTATTGACTCTATGTTGTATTTGTTGATATTTTTCTCAGTCCAGTGATGCACAAACAACTAATATCTTTATCGTGTTGGGACTCAACATAGATAAATTTCTCTATTAATCCCGATGAGTGAGTTTCCTTTTGGATTAAAAAGATATTTAAAAAACTAATATAATGAAATTAAATCATCCGTCCTTGAGTGTTTGTCTCTATTTTACTTTTTCAGAAAAAAATGATAAACTTGGACTATAAACTAAATGAAAAAGATATAAGATATTGATATACAAATAATTTTATTATGTTTATTTCATAATATATTTTAAAAATATTATTTTATCGAGTTAATACATACATACATACATATATACATATATATATATATATATATATATAATTAATTAAGAGTCAAAGATTGAAAAAAACTGACTGTAAAATATCAAAATTAAATAAATATTTAGAGACGCATGTAGTTACTATATATTAAAACCCAGTAAACAACACTTTGGCTGTCGGTAGAGTGGTGGTGCATACTTCATAGCAAAATAATGCAACTCACAATGTACAAGCTAAGTGGTGTGAGAGCCGGTTTGGGCTATGGGGAGGAGATGGAAGGAGTTTGGGGGCGAGGGTGGCACCGTGGTGGGCGATGGGACGATTGCCCGATGGCAAACGTGCATCAAGGAATGTTTTGGTTCGAATCGTGATTCGTATAAAGAATATGAATAAGAATATAAATATTTATTAGAACTAAAAAAAAAAGACGAATATGAATGCATATGCATTTGATTCGATATGTTAACGAATATATTCAAATATAAATATAAGAATTTATACTCAATATATTGCTTCGTATTAAATATAAAGCATAATATATAGAGTACTCTGTTGTTTGTTTTTTTAGTACATTACTCCATAGTTAATAGTTGATATACATATTTTGCTTTTGGATACCATGTAGAAAAAAAGAAGTATTTACGTAATTTTAAATGATAATTTAGCGTGTGCTTTGAGTGGAAGTGATTTTATTTGACTACAGGGGTAATATTTGATAATAAAGAACTAAATATGGAAACCCCACTGTTATAAAGGACCAATTATGGAAATTACTCTATTATATATTGATAATTTAATTAATAGTTATACAACTGGTTATCACAATTTTTTTAAAGATAGTCACTATGTTTAAACTAATAAAATTATTATACTCTTTTCGTCCCTAAAATATTGTCATAAATTAATATTTTTAGTCAAACTGTGGTACAATTAGACCACGAATTATAGAAAAAATATATTCAGTTATAATGTAAGTTAGTAAAATTCAGTTTATTTTAAAATATAATTTTAAAATATTAATTTTTTTATAATATTTAATTATTTTAAAATATACGAAGAATTTAATTAGTTGTGAAATTGTGTCACATTTTAACCAAAAAAATTAAATTGTAACAATCTTTTAGGGACGAAGGTAGTAGTAATTCTAACTTTACTTTAAATAAGACTAGATTAAATCAAATTGGATCCAATTAAATCAGATCAAATTTAGCCAATTTCGATCAGACCCAATCAAATAAAAACAGATATAATAAGACATTTGAGCTAAATCATATTAAAAAATTGAATCCAACCGATTATCTCGTTCAACTCAAAAACTTATATATTGATTTATTTTCTTTACATATTGCGAGGTGAGACACTCCTTAACAATCTAACTGGATAAAACTCAATTAAATCACATGAGAAACAATTAGATAACATAAAAAATCAAATTAGAATAATTAATGCAAATGGAACGCGGCTTCCGATAGATCCTGTAATAAAGTTATCTTCTTTTTTTCTTTCTTTTTTTTTTTTTGAAAATGTGAGCTTGAGAGACACGTAGGTGTCATCTTTTCTCAACGATGACTGTAACGCAAGAATAATGTGATAATGGGAATTGAACCATTTTTCAAGGGAAAGATAAAGAAAATATATATACTAAAATCATTTACACTTTACATAAAAGGAATTAAATTTCTAAATTTTTTAAATTCATTTTATTTAACGATTGATGTATAAATAAAAAATAAAATTTATATATATATATTTTAAAAAATACATCAAAAGTTCTGCAAAATAAGAGGTGAAAAGAATATTTTATTTGATCAAATAGTCAATGAAAATACATAAATAAACAAAAATACCCCTATTCTTTGAATAGTTTAGTGAGTAAATAATTTAGAAAATGGAGAAAATATATAATTCCTCTTTTATCTTTCAATTTCAAACTCCAACCCAACATCACTTGCTCACAACATATGTCATTCTTTCATAAATACTGCTTTTCTCCCATAAAAGAGTGCTTTTTTTGTGGTATAGACTTTTTTCTCGTTAAATGATACTTCATCCGTCCGAAAACATTCTTTCCATTTTCCTTTTTGGTCCGTCCGGAAATATTCTTTCCATTTTCTTTTTTAGTATACTTTTTAAGGCTAAATATCAATAATACCCTTCTATTTTATCACAAATCTACTTTTTTAGTATTTTTTTAATAATAAAAGAAGATTTAAAAGTTTATAGTATGTGCATTTTTGAAAATTTTGCATTTTTTTTACTCTTCCTTAATAAGCGTGCCAAGTCAACACGGAAAGAACATTTCCGGACGGAGAGAGTATATTTTTCTTCGAGCGAATTACAAAAATGGTTGTTTTCAAATAAGGTATTTTGTCAAATTATTTTGCAATAAGTAATGCTCCAATCAAAAAATAGAGAAATATCATTTCTTTTAAATTGAAAAAAGAACTTCATTCAAAATGCAAACAACATTCTGAACAGCGTGCCAAATATCATTTCTTTTAAAATAATTTTATTTACAATTTGGTAGAGAAATAAAAAGTAAAAAATACACCATTCTAAAATAGATAAAGAATTTTACAAAACAAGATGCGATGAGAATATTTTATTTTATCAAATAATCAACCAAAATGAGTAAACAAACAAAAATTATCGAGAAGTCAAAATAGTAACTTTTGTTTACGTTCTGGGACCGAGGGAGTACTTCACTACGTGATCCTTTATGTTTAGATTTATTCCTTAAATGATCTTTTACCGAGAATGTTTTTAGATGTTAGTCAAGTAGAAGGTTTATATGAACTTCTCCCCTGGCTTGAGTGGTAGCAAGCCCACTCCCCAGGATTCATGGGAAAGTTCACCCAGGTTCGAGCCCCAACGAAGGCAGCAGCATTGGCTCTTTGTGCGTCATTAGCTAGAAGACACCCACTTGGCTATTCAAATGATTGCAAATACAGAAATATTATTCATTTAACTATCATTCAATAGACGTTTTTTTCTAGAGGACCATTTATGCAATACATTTCAATTACAAAGAATCACATTGATAATTATTGTTTATTGAAGACTGATTTTTTTTAAAAAAATCTTGCTAGAAAGGACCATTTCAAAATTTTACTCTTTTTTTTCTTTTGTTTTGCTAAGCGCAGTCCTCAATATAATTGATTATGAAATACGGAGTAATTCTTAAATTGACTAAGTAACTTATTAGAATTAAGATACTTAGAAAAATTATTGTTATAAATTTTATGTAACTATTTTGGAAATTAATCAAAAAATATTAGGAAAATGCTACACACATGACACAACTCTGCAGATACACATGCAATGTTATCCTATAGAATGAATTTTTTTCACACTACAATATTTTTCTAATTTAATTTCATTTTAAATCAAATAAGATATTTTTTTGCGTTTAAAGTGAACAAAAATTGTGTTGTATATTAGTCCAAATATGATTTTATTAAATTTATTTTTTGTTGAGATATTTCTAAAAAAAATTGTTATATAATATATATAAATACAAACTGAGAGTTATCATAACTTATATTTTATACAAATACATTAGAATAGATGTAGTAATTTTTTGTGAAATCACCATAAAATTCAAAGTAGTAAGTCAATTAAATACCTTAGTAAGCGTTTGTATTACTTCTTCCTTCCTAATTTTAATTATATGTTACTCTCTTCGTTCTTGTGTATTTGTCTATTTTCATTTTTTTCGGTCAAAAGTGATATTAGATATTGATAAAAAAATAGTTTTATTAGATTGTTTGCATACAATCTTTTTAAAATATTATTTTTTTAATTATATGTCAAATATTAAAAACAGTTGACCAAAATAACTATATAAAAAATTATACGACATGATTACATTATTACTAAATAAGTAACGAAAATAAAAATAAAAAATGAAAAAAAACTTAATTTGAGTAGAAGACATTAATCTTTCTTCTACAGTATTTTGAATTTATAATAAATTTGCTGAAAAATGGAACAAATTAAGTCCAACTCAATCGCATCCTTCGCGGTTTGCCACTTTGCCCACTATATAAACCTTATACCCTCCCATTTTCGTCCTTCAAATCTCTCTTCCTCTCTCTCTCTTACCCAAGGGTAAATTGGCCATTTACTCTTCCATTTCTTCTCTCTCTAGAATTTTTGAAATCTTTTGGCATGGGACCCACCTGGTGGAATTATTAATGCCATTAATCATTCCTATTTTGAATTGTCATCTCTGCCATCCAACGTTGTAACCCCACCTTTTTTTCTCTCTTTATTTATTTTCCAAAAAAAAAAAAGAAAGTGGAGAAATTAATTTAAATTAGTTGGGCCTTGTTTGGCACTTTTCATTTCTCCTCTGTATTTAAAGGCGCCATTATTTTTCCGTCACTTCGTGAAGCACAATTCGGACCCCACCACGTCAATAAAGCTATTCCCGTTTTCTTAATGGAGGAGGGCAAAAAGCGAGTCCGAGATGAGTCGGAATCGGAACCGATCTCGCCCGAGTCCAAGCGATTCCACGCGGAGCAGGACCAGTGGGTTGGCTCGGTCCGAGTCGGGTTTGACTCGGTACCCGGCGCGGATTTCAACCTTGGTTCCCCTGAGAGGAGGCAGTACGGAGGTGATATTTTCGATCTTTTGGACGCTCCGTACACGCCGGCCGAGCCTCAGTCGGAGATCCACGGCCTCGATTCGTTCATAAAAAGCTTCGAGGAGGAGATCCTTCATCCCGCGCCGGCGTCCGCGGAGCAGCCGCAGACCGTCATCGACCTGACTTCCGCCGATTCACAGCCGGAGCTCGGCTACCTTCTAGAAGCCTCGGACGACGAGCTCGGGCTCCCTCCCAGCGGATCTAAATCTCCGGTCGATTTGCCGCCGGACGCCTCGGTGCTCGACAGCCTGGCGGCGTTCGAGGACGAGTTGCCAGGTTACGATTCGTTCGAACTCGGGATTCCCGGCGGATCAGAGGAAGGCGAATACGGCGGCAACAATGGCGGCGCCGGCGAATTCGTGACCGTCGATGGGCTGTTTGATTACTCCGACTTTTCGGAGATTTCATGGAGACCCGAATCATTACCCGCTTTATAGATGGGGTTTTTTTGGCGGGTCAAGTTGGATCTTTGCCTGTGTGATAAGTCATTAAAATTAATGAAAATTTAGGAGCTCACAAGACGTGTAAATCTTTTAATCTTTTTTTTAAGGTAAGAAAAATGATGAAAGGCAGAAAAATAGAAGAAAAAAAAAAAGAAAATTGTGATGTTCAAGACGATTTTCATGGAGTTTCTTTTATGCATTTTTGTTTTCAAATTGAGTAATCCCTAGTTATTAATTTGTTAAATCTTTTTCAGAGGAAAACGAAAACAAAAATGTTAGGGGTAAGTGTGGAGCACTCCTCCTTATCGTGACCGTGATGGAGTGATGACCATCACAGTCACAATGGCGCTTTTTCTCTCTCAAACTATCTGTTAAACAGTTAATTTTTTAATTTTTTTCTTTTCCCAAAATCCCAACACTTATAATTTCAAACAACAGTGTGGAATGCGAATTAAAAACATTGTTACCATTATACCAAACATAATTTTATTGATTTGTACTAGTGTATTTCGTCAATTTTGACTTCACATTCAAAATTGACAAAATTTAACTATTGATTAAATAAAATTAATATTAGATATTAATAAAAAAATAATTTTATTGGGGACGAATGTACTAATAATCAAGTTGGAATTTAGACAAAGGTACCATCTAGAGGAATTCTTTTATTTTAACAAGGACAAATTTTTTTAAGGACAAATTAAAAGAGAAAGATAAAGTTCTATGTTATAGCCCATGGCCCAGGCTTAGTTTGAAGTGATATGTTTTAAAGGAGTAGTTCTTCTCAGATGTAAAAATGGTCGCTTTCATATTTTTTATGAATTTTTTCTTTTTTGTAAAAAAAATCTAATTCTTTCATGATATCAATACATTAAGATGCATAAAATGTGCATAGATTTTAAGATTACGAAAAGATTTCCCTTGTTTTAAAGTGAGCTTTTTTTTAGGGAAGCCAACCCAAACCCAAATGTATTGATAAATTGAGAATTAAATTAATTTTCGATTAATCATTAAAAGTATTCTTATGCGGAGTAATAAATTTATTTTTATAATAGAATAATATTAATTAAATTTTATAAAAAACTATGGAGTATTTTTATAAATTTTGTTTATACTGGACTATATGATTTTAAACACTATCCCTTTATAAAGTTTTAGTTGAGATGGTATAAAAATACATTTGTTTTACCGTTAAAACTTCCATTACTTGATCAATTCAAACAAATTCTATTCATTTTCCAAAATTTCTACCTGGAAATGATTTTCTGAAATTTTATGACTAATTTTTATCACTATATTAGGTTCAAGAAATTTGGATGACAAACCGAATAAATAAAAACAATCATTTCTCTCATTTTTCTCAAAAAAATAGAAAATGTTTGTTCAATTCTTTTAGTATATATTTTACCTTCTTATTTTTATTTCCTCTCACTTTTACTTTCCTTTTAAAACAATAAAAAATGCTTATTTTTAATTTCATTTTCTTTTCTTTTTTTTTCTTTGAGATTCTTTGAACCAAACATAGTGGTTAGACAACAAAGAATATGTTGTTGGTTATAAAAGAAAAATCCGGCCAATTATATTGATAATAAATAATGATTATTATATCCCAAAAAACAATAATTGTATTTAAGATATATGTTCATTTAAAAAATGTGGCCAGCGTAACGACAATAGATGATTATTATATTCCTTTAGATTAAAAAAAAGACCTTTGTATTGACGTGGCTATATAATTGTATTTAAAAATTAAAACACATGTCAAGTCCTTTACTCATTCAAAAATTTGGCAATTGACCATTTGACATTAGATGACAATTTTTATTCCATTTGATAAATAAATAGTTGTTTTTATTTCCAATAATGAAATATAGTTATTGAAAATTCCAAAAAAATACATGTGACTTAATAAATATTTATTTTATGTGACGTTTTACTAATCACTATTACTACCTTCGTTCTAATGTATTTGTATAATTTGATTTTTTCAAGTCAAACTGGAAAAATTTTAACTCTAATTACTCTTAATTTATATTACATATTAACATAATGAAATATAATTTTGAAAGCTCTCAATACGATACATCCAATAAAGTAAAAAATTGATGCTTCTAATGTTTTTGCGCATTCATTATCAGGTTAAGTAACCATGTCCCCCGAATTTCGTTTCTATCGATTAATTGAATCTCTGTTGATTTAAAAAAAAAGATATTTCAAAAGTAGAAAATGTACAAATTTTTCTAGTTCTTTTTTTAAATCTTAATGTCACAACCAATTAATTTTTCAGTTGCAGTTCATTTATTTTAATGGAGTTAGCTAGCTAGCCTTTCGAATATTCAATTGATAAATTTGTACTCATCCATATATATGTCTATACTTTGATTGGATTTGTGAACAAACCTATTCAACGTGAAATATAAACCATATATATTTCATCTGTTCTTGAAAATACTTTTGTCTTAATTTATTGCACGCTGCATCAGATATTTTTACTCGATTTAAAATATCTAAAATACATCTAAAACAACTTTTACCTGCAATAAAGTATAATGAGATATATTTTAGACATTTTAGGTGGAAGTAAAAGTGTACTTAATTATAATATAAATTCAATATAATTGGATTTATTTTAGGATATAGTTTTGATTTATCAAATTTTTACGAGCATGACATTTATTTATTTAGATTATGTTTAATTTGTAGATAAAGAATGTCATTGTTTGACTGAAAAAATCAAAACAAAAAAAGTTTTTAAGGCCGGATTCACCGGAGAGAGTATAAACTCAATATACTAATTGAGTTCATCTTAGCTAGATTATAGTTTTGATATATTAAATTTTTACATCATTTATTTATTTAAATTATATTTAATTTATGGTAAAAAATTCTCGATACTCAATTAAAAATAATCAAAATAAGAAAGGTTTTTAGTACGGGACCGAAGATTATTTTCTTTTTTTCCTTCTAGAGGTTAAGAATCGTTTGTCATGTTTTTTTTGTCGCAGGTTTGCCGAGGGTTGACGACGTGCTTAAACTTAGATCACAAAATGTTCCTTCCATCTCTCTTTACTTTAGTGCTTTTAATTTATATTTTGACTGGGCATACAATTTTAGAAAAAAATAATTAGAGTATAAAAGTAAATGATATGTGAGTTTAATTGTGACTTTAATTTCAACATTTAACTTTAATATTTTTAAAAAGTCATTTCGAATACTCCATACGTCCAGAAATGTTCATCCTATTTAACTTCTAACATTTTTCAATATTGCACTTTGACCAATAATATCTATATTTATATATTTTATAAAAAAAATTAATATTTCAAAGCTACATTTCATTAAAAATATATTGATATTAAATTTAAATCATAGTACAATGTATTTTTTTCCACAAAATGGAGTTAAAATTTATAAACGTTGACCAACAAAAGTTAAATGTGAAGAATATTTTTGGATGTAGAGATATATTAACATAAATTTTAACGTTTTTAACATGAATGTGTAACTCTTTATTCACAAGTTTTTCATTCTTAAAATTTAACACATACTTTAGCTGCAAAAGAAACATTTAAGAACGGCTGCCAGGACGTTACATTTAATTATGATATTTTGTTATATTTGTAAAACTTTCCAAAAATCTGTAATTAATATTTAATTGTAATTAGTACCCCTAAGACTAGATATCAAGAATTTTGAGTGTGCACATCTTTAGTGTAAGTCTTTCAAACCTGTACACATGCTTTTACATTTAAAAATGAACATTTGATAAAAGTTTTTTTTTTGAGTTTTTTATATGTTTCAGACTTGAAAATTATTTACCACATATGAAATACTCCGTATATAATTAGACATATTTTAAATTTATGATCCATGTTATATATCGATGCACAATGAACATATTATTCTCGTACCTGAATAAGCTAACATGCTCAGTGACTAGAGTTGAAAATGAAGCGAATAATTTTTGCTCGATTCGTGATTTGGATTCGTTTGTATTGATTTGTATATGAAGAAATTAAATCCAAATCAAAATATGAATAATATTTGTTATATGCTATGTTAACAAATACGAATATGAATATATGCATTTTCGACTTGGTACGTAAACGAATATGTCCAAAAAGATGGGTCAAATTATAAATATTAAAAAATTAATAGACAATTCACTATCTACTTAAAAATTAAATGTATGTTTATATTTCAATCTTCAATACATAAATCACGAGTTTATTAATGTCTCCCAAATACGTAGTAGCTAATTGCAAAAAAAATTTAATGGGAATCATATTTTTTAAGAAATAAATTATACGTAGTATCTTTCTAATGCATTTCAAAATTTAAATGAGTTAAATACGGAGTATTTTAAAATGAATCAAATATTTTGATACAAATTAAATTTTTAAGCAACTCGATTATTGAGATGGTGATTGTGAGCGATTAACTTGTGAGTAAAATGATTTTTTTTAAAAAACTAAATGTAGAAGCACCATATATCTATTTATCCGATTTCCAAAATGACCTTTTATGTACAAAATGATAGTAAAGAAAAGCAAAAATTAATATGCCAAATAGAATAAAATGATTACCACTCCTCTAAATACCAATAATATTAATGAATATTCGATTTTTACAATGTAATGCTCACATCTTTGAACCGGGTCTTAACCACGAAAAAACGGTTCGTAAACCGATTCCAAATCCAAAAGTTATCCAGAGGGTCAATGATCGCCCACACACTCTATCAGCCACTCCCGATGGCTCTTATCTGCAAGATTCCCGCCGGAGCTCTGTACACGCGCCTCCCTCTCCGCCGTCCGTCCCTCGCACCACTAGCTTCGACCTCTCCGTGGTCGGCCGGAAGAAGTCGTGTCTTTGTATCTGCTGCGAGGAAGGTCTCCCAGGGCAAAAACAGAAGAGGCTCGCTCTCAACACAGGAACAGCAAGTTAGAGAAGAGGATGAAAATCCAGGCTGGGATCCAATTGGGCCCGCCGGTGATGCGCCGGAAAGCCCAATTTCCGCCGTGGATGATGGGTTCGTCATGCCGGAACTTCCCGGACAGGAGCCGGATTTCTGGGAAGGTCCTCAGTGGGATGCTTTTGGATTCTTTATTCAGTACCTGTGGGCTTTCGGCGTAGGTTTTGCGGTATGGATTTTCTTACCAGCATATAATACTGTGATCGTAAGACACCTGTTGGATGAAATTATCCATAGAACCATTGATGAATTATATGTTTAATTGGCTTCTGTTTTTTCCTAGCTTGAAGTGTTGTTTTCAAGAACTCACTCTAATCATTAGTTATGGTGTTTGCAGTTGATTGCTTGCGGCATTGCAGCTGTCACGTACAACAACGGTGCAACGGACTTCAAGGAGACACCTGCGTACAAGGAATCAGTCGAGTCGAGCAAGCTTCTAGAAGGACCCGACGTATCCGAGGACTCGGATGTCTTTGAATCCAATCCAACTGAAGTGGCACCTAGTTTGGCTGATTAGCTATGCTATCCGCCCCACCTTCCTATCACGAGTTGAGATTGGGCCGGGTACGCCCTCTTAGCATCTATTTTATTTTTGTATAGAAAAGTTTATATCATTTGGAGTTTTGTCGTAAAAGATCAACGCGATAGGTGTTTTATATATGCTGGTTTATATTTATATGCATGTTCACCCAAGTGTCTAATGGGGTGTTTGGGACTTCATTGCATACTCAAGTAAGTTTTGAGCTTGGGACTCATACTCTTGCTCTTTGTATATGATTGAGTTTATTGGAGCTTATTTAATTTTAACGATTTTAGAGGATATATGAACCTTCTAACCTTATTGCCAAGGGTTTCGAATCTGGATGTAAAATTCTCTCTATAATTTTATTTGCATAAACTTGTGCTGTTAACTAAATCTTAAGTGTCATGTGACTGCCAAACCAAATGCGGTTCGGTTTTAGTTTGGTAATATTCTTTTCAAACCGTCCCAAAAGGTTTTTGAAACCCATAAAGAATCTAAGAATCAAAAACCGAAACGAATTGAAAGGGAACAATGCATGGGAGAGTAATATTAACAGCAAGTTGTTGTTACAATACTTAGACCCAAAACAATGAAATCCAAGAAGAAGCCAATAGCCACAAGAGAATCCCTCGCACCAGAGCTACGCTGATGAAATCCAAACACTATCAAGCCAGGTGGTGGTGTCCTTGATGGTGGTTCTCTATGAACTGGTGGAACTGAAACCAAACCCAAGAAAATGAATTCCTGTCTTAAATATCCCCTCCTAGCTAGGAAAAGTGGAGTTTGTGGAACATACCTGCAATACTTGAGTGGTTTTTTGTCCCGACAGAGACTTGTGCAGGAGGAAGAGATGGAGGCACTGAAGGAGGTTCTGTTGGAACTAAGAAAAGAAACCAAAGATATGAATAAACGCTTAAGGTTTTCCATTTAGAAATAACAAGATTTAATTGGTTATCCAAATATGGAGTATTTGAAACTTCCTATCAAAAAGATTATTTGGGACAAACGATGAGGGCAAAGTGGGAAAAACCTGAATCTGCTTGAATATCGCTACGGAAGTGTTCGACGAGGAGTCTTTTGTTAAGAAAAAAAGAGCTCTTAGAGCTAAAGGACGGTTATTTGGAGTGTTTGGTCAAGACCCTAAAGCGATTGTAGTTCCTAAAAACATCCTAGGGAGGAAAGTGTAATTTAACATCCTAGTCAAATACCTGGACAAAGAGAGGGTTTGATGTGGATGCTGCATAGGCTTGGAACTTGAAGGGCTAAAGTGGAATTGATAGGGAAAGAGCTCAAAGTGGAGCCATTGAGGAGAGGGCAAAGGCACCTACTTTGCCTGCTGCCATAGATTTGCCTAAGGTTAATGCAGCATTGGAGGGCAGGTAAGGGCACCCTGCCCTGCGCGAACGGCCCGCAGCTGCCCAGTCCCAGCAGGTAGGGCCAGCATTCCACTATCCCGGTCTGCGACTGGGCGGCGGGCAGACGCTGGCTGAACAGGGGCAGCAGAAAGATGATGTGAATCATATTAGTCATGCCCAAAACTTCTTCACAAGGTTTTGGTGGTTTTTTTTTTCTTCAGTTGAGTGTTATTGTTGGAGAGTTTGAAGGTGCATTTTAAAACTATTGACAACTGGTAAAAGGCAAAGGCAGATCACATTTGCATGGGATGCAGCATGCATCAAGTGTGTGATTCCATGCAAAAATCATACTTATTCAGTCATACTTAATAAAATGATTTCAAAAAATGATTTCATTTTTTTTAAAATTCGTCCTAAAATAAAATATCACCTTTTAATAAAAAGTGTTATATGGTTCACATTTTTCTCATCTGCATAACCTTAATTCCAATTACTTAATTTAATTTTTATTAATAATCGTGTCTGGTCAAGTGTTTAACCTTAATTCAGCTTAATTATGTGAATAAGTTAAGTTTCAAGTTCATTGTTGAAATTTATCATGACCAAATCGTTCGTAGATTCTTATAATATTCACTATAGTACATACTAAGGCCCCATTTGGAATAATTGTTAGATGTTAGCATTAACATTTTGAAAAGGCTATATTATATTATAGCTAGTAGCGTTAGTGTTTTTTAGAATCTATACCATCAAAATTTTCTCAACCACGCTAACGTTATCCAAACAAGGCCCAAGCAAACATGTACAGTGTATATCACGAGTTTTATTCATTTTATGTTTGTGTTTAAATAAGGGTTGAAGTATTGTGTTGTCTTTGACGGGATGGGAAGTATGGCACGAGCATTGTGGTTGTCTTTGACCGTTTTTGATAAGGTCATGTGTTATGGCGGGCTCGACAGGGGGTTTGACGGGATGTAAAGGTGTATGATGTGGAGTGATGAAAAATATGTGTTATAGTGTGTGTGAAGAAATGTTATGAGGTGTGAATATGTGTTAAATTTTAATTGGTTGAAATTAAAAAAAAAAAAAGAGAACCAAAGGGGGCAACGACTGGATGGCCGTCACGAAGGAGGGGGCCACGCCCTCCTCACGGAAGTCCGTCTCGGTCAAAGAGCGTGTCACGGGCGTGAAGGAGGAGGTCAAGCCCTCCTCACGTCACCATAGCGTACCGCCTAATGTTTGAGATAGATTTCACCAATATCTTATTCCTTCTATTCCATTTTAAATTATTATTTACGGAGTATTATTTACATGGATAAATTTTAATCACTATATTTTATCTTCTTTAATCCCATTTAAAATTATTTATTTATAAACTAATAGTCATATTTTAATCATTTTACTCATAAACTAAAATTAATCATTTTATTTATTTTTGTTACCCGTTGAATAAACTAATAGTCATACCACCTATTGTTTTTGAAACTATTACGGAGTAATATAATTTTAATATATAAATTTTGTTTTTTAATTACACCTCATTTTTCAAATAAATTAATTTAAAAATAAGAGTAAATTACATAAATAGTCCCTAATCATGTGTTTTTTCATATTTAGTCACTAATTCTAAGATATTACATAAATGATCACTAATTTTTGAAAATTATTTCATAAATAGTCTTTATATAGTCTTTTGGGCCAAGTATGAAAAAATATTGTTTTCTTATATAATTCTTGAATGATTCATTATGAAATAATTTAAAACTGGGTTCGAAAAATCGCAAGAGAAATCCAATTTGATCGAAACGAAATGTTAAAAACTGAATCCAAAAAAATTTGAAACCGAATATAAAAAATTGAATTGAACCGTTCTCATTTGATTTGGTTTGGGCTTTTACTCCCGAAAACCAAACCAAATAAAGTGATTTTCCATAACTACTTTATTTTATTTATATAAGTATCATAAAGTATGTAATATGTGATTGATCAACTCCTCACCGTTTAAAGTTTTCCCTCATACACTATATTCTGTTAACCTTATTATAAACTATAAAAATAAAATATTCTAAGAATATAAACACTAATAATCTTAATAATATTAACAATATAATCATGTGATACTTTTTAGCATTAAAACTTTATTGTGGTTTCAAATTTTTGAACAAATTTGTTCATTTTTACATGATGTTTAATTTAAGTGTTGTTATTTTATAAAAGGATGTTTTTTTATAATATTTAAGTTTTACTTGTTTATTGGAGTGTGAATAAATAATTTTTATAAACCAAAAAAAATGAAGAAAAAAAATCAGATCAATCAACTAACGGTTTACATATTTTTTACATGAAACCAAACCAAATCGAACGGAACTTTAATCTTTCGTTTGGTTTTCAGTTTTGAGTAAAAACCAAACCCATCCCTAGAATAATTTTTAAAAATTGAGAACCATTTATATAATATCTTGAATTTGAACTAAATATGAAAATCACCTATAATTAAGAATAATTTATAAAATTTACTCAAAAAAATAACTTTAACTGAATATCATAAAGAACAAGCATCTTAAATTGAGATGAAGAAAGTACCAAAGCATTACTTCGAGATTTTTACAATAAATCCCAACATATTACTTCTTTAATAGGTCAACAAATTTTTATTTAAAAATTAAGTGAAAACTTGGGCCTTATAATTTATCAAAATATTGTGCCTATTCAAATGTTACTTTTTTAGTGCTATTGATTCAATTGTAAAATGGCATCTATTCATATTTTTCTCAACTTAATGAAGCACAAAGAACCAATACATGTGGACGCTCAAATCTGGACAAACTTCTCTATAAATCTTGAAAAATGAACTTCCGACCACTCAAGCCGGAGGGAAGTTAAATGTTTTTCTATTCACGTTCCTAAGGCACATGTCCAGGGGCGGATCCATAGCTTAATAATTGGGGGCAATGGCCCCCTACTAGTTTTAAGTTTTTGTTTATCATGTGTATTGTGATACTTTAATTTTTTTAATTTGTTTTAGAGTTATGTAATATATGACCCTAACTAAAAATATTAGAAACCCTAATAAAAAGTATTAGAGGCCTCAATTAATAGTATTAAGTAAGAAAAAACTGAGAGAAATCAAATATTTAGATATTAAAAAAATATAATTTTAAAGTGAGATTTTAAAATGCAAAGATAAATTCTATAGTACACTAAAAATATACAAAGTGATAATTAAACTAATTTATAATATTGGTATTAAAAAAATTTATTTTTTATTTTTTTACTATTTGAATAACTATTTAAGGGTAAATTCATTTTTTTAAAGTCTCACATTGCATGTATACAAAAAATTTGGGAAGCTATCCAAGAACACTCGAAAGATGACCCCTACTATTTAATATCCTGGATCCGCCACTGCACACGTCCATTGAGGATATCCTAGTCTATAACTCAATGAAACATTTTGTAAAACATTAAGACGTGTAAGGCGTACTCTTTTTGTATAGACGCTGGGCATGTTTGGGAATAGCGTTAGAGATTAGCGTTAGCGTTTTGGATAAAATTTTAACGGTGCAGATTACTTTGAAAACGCTAACGCTAAACGCTACCCGTTGATAGCCTTTTCAAAACGCTAACGCTAATCGCTAACGCTATTCCCAAACAGGCCCGCTAAATGAAGAACTTTTTATAAGTTATCACAAGACAAAGAACAAACGTGTAAGGCAAAACACAAACTTAGGTTAAACATAACAAATGAAATTCTAGTCCCACATGCACAAATGAAGGATCATACCAGCATCTCTCACCTTTTATCTTCTAGTGTCAATCAATCAGTTGTTACAATTCCACCAGAGGGTGGGTTTTGGGGGGGGGGGGTTTGAGCGGGGTAAAAACGCAAAAAAAATATGACAAAATCCGGATTTAACTTGACATCATGACTTGATCGGCGGCTTGCAGCGCTTGGTTGGCAAAGAACCTGACATCCACATCTGGATCCTCGCTAAGTTCAACCAAACACGGACGTATTGTCTTCTCCACAACCTGATTATTCAAATGCCACACCTAAGTCAAGACGAAGCTAACTAGTGAAACTATGGGCCCGTTTGGCAACAACTTCAGCGTTTAGCTTTAGCATTTTGAAAAGACTATCTAATGGCAGCATTTATTGCTTTAGCTTATTGAAGTTAATCAGCATCGTTAACAAACCATGCAAAACGCTAAGACTATCTATGTGATGTTTCTACTGCATCAGATGAAAATAAAAAACTTACAGATTGGTCAACTATTGGAATGAGAGATTGCAAAACTTTTGCCACATTGAATTTTATATTTGGTACCCTGCAAACATTGAATGTACAAAAGATCAGTAAAGAAATTCTGAGAGAAACAATGGAGTTGAACAAATGCTGTAAAAGAGGAAAAACAACCTGTCCTTTGATGCAGTAACAATCACCGGTAGAAGTTTAGAGCAAGTGATTTCTGAGCCCATTACTGGGGCAAGAAGAGATACGGCGTGAAGAATGGTCATTCGGTAAAGATAATGCGGGTCGTTTATCATTTCCAGAACCTATAAGCAGAATACAGAGAAGTTAAGAACATAAATCTGGAAAATCAAAGAGAAAAGTACAAGATGGTAAAAGAGAAAGGGTGTTTTCTTTTATGCACACGCAGACAACAGCCATTATTCCAATAATAAGTGTCGTTTCCGAAACATTTACGTATTACATACAATGAAGAGTCATTAAACGGAGAGCATATTGACAAGACAATATCACCCCCTCATCAAGAAATCATTAAAGATCGAGTGATTGAATACTGAGACGGGTAAAGGGGGGAATGAGAAAAAATAACATTAATTACTGTCTTGGTTTTATAAAACAAGATGTGAAATAAAAACTTTGCTCCAAAATGACACTTGTGAACCAGAAGGAATTATATGGTACAAGTAGATGATTAAAGATTTGGGGGGGGGGGGGATGGATGGAAAGAGAATATTAAAACTGTCTTGGTTTTAAAGAATGACAAATTGTGAAGAGGTTTTTTACAAATCCCCCCCCCCCAAAGACCCTAACTTGAATCAGATATTCTGGGTTGAATTGGTTTATTGTGCTTCGCAGTCAAACAAGTACAGAATGAATCAATGTATTGTATGCAAACCTGTGGAATAATGTGTTGCATTGCCCATTCTGGTCCAAATTCCTCTGCGAGGCGTTTAACATTATTCGCAGCTGCATCTCTGATGGAGTAAACCTGACAAAATTTGGGGGAGGGGTGAAACCTAATCAGTAAAAGAGGATTTACTACTGTTACACTTCTTATTGTACCATAGTTAATCGCCTATTAGAAGAAAGATATACTAAGTGGATAATTAATTAGGAGACATATCTAATCACAGCACCAGTTCATCGGGATCAGTATAAAAATGCCCAATGAAAAAGGCAGAGCTTCACAGACCTTATCTTTTAGCCATTGCATGCAAAGAGACCCAAGCTTATCATCAAAAAACCCAACACCTAATTGACTTGCCAATAAAGGTATGTATTCTATTATTGCAAGGCGAACCCTCCAGTGTCTGTCTTCTGCAAGCTCAACTATAGCAGGCAGCAGGGACTGGGACAAGAGATCAATACCTATCACCTGCACTTACTTGACAGATGAATAAGAAAAAGAAAAATGAATAAGATGAATGAAAACTCAGAACAAACAAAAGCGTATTAAACAATCTGGCAAGTATTCTCCCTTCCCCAAAAAAAATCATGTTTAACAAATGTAAGTTTTGGAATTTTGGTGAGGTACAACTGTTAGAATTTTTTTTATCATACTTATTATGGTATTTGTAGAACCTATTTAATGGTTTCACTAAATTTATTATATGTCACTTGTTTGTGACTCTTTTCTTGTCAATCAAACTCGTTTTTTATGGGGACAAAAAATAATGTTTGGAACATAACTCTCTTGTATGGACGAAGAGAGTACTAAATATTGGAATTCTGAAAGTAGACACGAATTGACCTGATTGACTTGATCAAGCTTGCTGATAATATTCAAACGGACATCAGGAAACTCATCCTTGAGAAGAGAAAGAAATATTGGAAGAAGCTGCTCAATTGTTGCATCCTAAAACGAGTATAAAACAGAGTTAGTTCCTTTTGGACAATAGTCAATAGACTTGAAAGACGTGCAGCTAATTAAAAAGGTTTACAAAAACATGTGTTCTGTGTGCATACTTGAAACTACAAAAAACTAGATAGGTAATCTTTGATCAGCTTGTTATTAGTTGGCTGGTAAAAATCTAGAGATAGTGCATAAATTAGTTGGCTGGTAACAATCTAGTTACAGTGTATAACCTTTCCTAGAACAGGTGCCATTCCCATTATGACTGACGCCAAAGCAGAGCGTACATGCTGAGAAGAATCTGAAGAAAGTTCCTACAGTTTGTAAAATACACAATGATTAGTTGTTGCACCTTGTAACAGTTGAAAGGGAATGTGCCCCAGGAGAGAGAGAGAGAGAGAGAGAGAGAGAGAGAGAGAGAGAATATCAAGTACATCATTTGGAAAATGACAATTTGGTTAAAAAGAGCAAGAGAATGATAATTCTGTTTAAATTCCTGCACCTTTACACAAGGAAGAATATGTTGGATTGCTAATTCAGGACTTAATATCCGACAGAACTTAGTGACTTTGCTAGCTGCTGCAATCCGCACTTCAGCCTCGTTATCACGGAGTAAACGAACATAAGCTGGAACCAGATCCGTTCTTCAAAAAAACATATTCGTCACTCATCAGTGTTTTCTAAAAGCGGGGAACTTTTAAAAAATGGAGTTAATTAAAAATGCTACACACAAACACAATTAAAAGCTACTCTATTTATCATTAAGGTTCATAAGAATGAGTAAATAACAAGCTGCTGAAACACAAGTCAAACGACAAACATATAAAAATCGGATGCACTGGGTATCATGAATACTAACCTGGTAGCTTCAGGTCCAACTGCCTCACAAAGTTCATATAGCTGATTTGCAACCATGTAGCGGACACGCCAAGACTTATCCTGCACATTATGGATAAACATGTAAGTAATTGGAGTAAGTTGTTATAAGCAGAAAAGTTTCTCTTCTTGTCCCTGAACTAAGCCAACCTGGGCAAAATTAACTATGACAGGAAGGATTTGTGCAGCACAATCTTGAGGCTCCAATAACTTTCCCAAGGCAGCACACCCTTCAACAGCCAATAAACGGACAGAATCTTGATCTGAAAGAGAAAATTCGAGCCATGAAGTGACTAGAACAGTTAAATAAACAACGGGCAAACAAAGCTTTCTCTTCAGCAACAAAGTGTTAGTACCTTTTAGTAGCTACTATTCATGGTACAATATTCGTCATCTTTTTCGCACTCAATTTTTTTCCATGATGCAACTTCAAGAACAAGTCCTAGACTAATGCAGTAATATTTTTTTATTTCTCTCCCTAAAAGTTAGCAAATTTTATATATGACCAACTTTTTCAAGATTTATTTATTACGGAGTATTAATCTTGTACTATTTTCTTCAATGCCAACTTTGCTCTTATAAACAGGCTCACAATGAAAAAAACTCACCACCATACCTCTGAACAAAAGAACTGCCTTTTCAATGAATACTCTGTATATTCTAAAGTCCTAAGTACAAAATGTGATATTGAATTGTGATTTAAGTTGCATTGAAAAACACAATGAGTTGGTAGGATTTTAATGGGTTTGTTGTTGTTGTTGTTGTAAAACAAAATGAGAATGCAATTGTTCCTCATAAATTCTAACATTAGTACACATTACGATTTACAAAGGATGGAAACTACTGCACGTGATAAACTTTGAGAGCCACATAGGTCTCATAAAAAACAATACCGTCTTGAGTCAAATCCTCAAACATTGACATTATGTCAGTCTTCACATGAGGTTGTTCAACGGTAGCAGCAAACTTCCCAAGATTTGTTGCAGCCGCTCTTCTCACCATTGGCATGTCATCTTGGCACAATTGGCTAAATATAGTTCTAAGCTCACTTTTTAATGGCTCTGGAGCACTGGGATATGCAATGTGAAATAATCCACATGATGATACACGAGCAGTAAACCACTCGCCTGCTGCCAGCCTCTGAACGGAAAATGCAATTCATGTCAATAGCATACAGCAGATTTGAAGAAAAGAAATATCAAATATCAATATTATCCATAAATGGCACTTCACTATAAAATCTGATTTACTGAAACTAATTATGTTTCCACATGTAAAATACAGATGGAGGTTAAACTTAACCACTAAGTTTCAACAGCGTTCAACAAAACATGCTATGATTAGAAAACTGAAAAAAAAAGATGTGAGAAAACAAAACCATATCCCCAGACAAACAAAGCATCTGAAAAAGAATGACAATACCATGATTGTTAATACCAATTACCAAGTATTACTCATATGATTTATGACCACTCTTGAAGAGATAGGGATAACAGATATGACAAGTGTTTAATCTATAAATTCAGTAAAAGATAATAGATGGCATCTCAAAAACGTTATTTTTTGCACCAGATGCACAATTAAGATGCCACCACATTGTTAAACATGGGCTCCTGAGCACCAGGGAATGTATATTAACATTTGGTTAAAAAGAAATAAATAAATTGAACAGACAATGCAGAGACTCAGCAAAATTATGAGTTGTGTTTTCACCTTTACAAGAGGAATGAATGATTCTACCAAATCTGATTCCTTCATTTGAGATCCAATTCTGCACAATGACTCAACAGCCTTTTCTCTTACACAAGTCTCTTCAACACTACAGAGACCTTCTAGTGGAGGAAGCAAGACACTGGCATGTTCGACTCCACCAACATATGGAATGAACACTCCCAATTCTTCTGCCATTGTAAGAAGAACTTCATCATCATCATCATTGTTCTCACTCAAAAAAGGAATTAATTCCTTTCGCGTTCTCTCCTCCCCAAGTGCACGGGCAATTGTTGACAAACGACGTATTGAGTTCAACCGAAGCTGGATATCTTCATTCTTGAGCTCATCAATTAGAACCGCAATAGGATACAAGGGCTCTTCCATGACTGAAATGTGAAGTCAGAATGCCTTTGTCAATTATATATCCTATCTATACGCTCAGCAATTTTTTACCTGTAATGTAAAGGTAGCAAATTGCTAGATGTTTCATAAGAAAGATAGTAAATAGAAGCAACTACATCTTTCTTTGTTAGCGCCAGCAGTTACACGAACATGAATACACAATAGTCACAACCAGTAGTAAATTCATTCCAGAGAAGAAAATAGCTTACTTGACCCATTCTTAAGTGTAATAAAATTTTGTGCACCATCGTTACCATCACTATAAGCACCTTAATACCAGTTACTTGGGGTCGGTGGCATTAAATTTATAGTGCCAATTGATTTTATTAGAAAGTGTAACACTACATTACATGCAAAAAAGGCAATTTTTATGCTGAATGCCCTTGCTGGCGCAACCTACATAAGAGGACATTTTCATCCTTAAAATATCAGACAATTAACCTATGCGCACTCTATGGGCCCAAAATGAGATAGAATTCAGTCACGGAATACAAAAAAAATAATAAGTAATAACCATTCAAAAACCTTACGAAACTAAAAGAAGAGTATCCCATTTGTGCAAAGCACACGACAGGTTAAAAGAGAAAGCATTAAATCAAGTTTATATTTTTGTAAATTCGTAAAAGTACAGAATATTCCGGTATATCTAAAGATCTTCTTTGCATTAAGCGTCCACACCACAAAATCCATTTACAAGTTCAAAATATAAGCAAAAAGAAATCATTTTTTACACAACCTCTGCGATAACTTAGCATTTATTCCAGAGATAAGCTATTAATTAAGTATTTATTTCAAGCAATCGCTATGAAAATCAGAAAATCTCCCAAAGATTCGAATAATCACCAGATTTATCCAAGGAAAATTAATGAAATTGGTTAATTAAGCAGATCGTAGCGTTCATGAAGCATGAAACGATTCGCAATTTGACAAGACCACAAAATTAAAGGAATTGAAAAAAACTGGGCTCTGGGGATTCGCGTGGGTGAGAAACAGGAAGAAATGAATACCTGTAAACGATGAGGCAGGCCGATCTGAGGCTGCGGAGGAGAGTGAGTCCGTCCAGAGATGAGAGAGATCTGCTTATAACATTCTCTTTTGGGGATTGTCTGAAAGAAAAGAAATGCCCGTGTAGTATTAAAAAAATAAAAAAAAAATTATTACGGAGTATTTTTTATTTTTAACTTTACCAATCATTTTTTTGTTAGAAAAACAAAAGGCAAATTTCATAAATAGTCTTTAAATTTAATTTCAATTCTTTTCGTATTTTATTCCATGGAAACAGCCTCTCTACTTTCAGGTAGGGACAAGGTTTGCGTACGCACACTCACCCTACTCTCGTGTAATCCAATTGGATTGTTGCTACCATTTTTTATCTTCATATTTTATTAAGTTTTATTATTAGAGATTTAAATTATCAAGCGTATCTCTAGTTTTAATAATTTTTGTTATTAAGCACCAGTTAAGGTGTGGGAGGGATGCATACGAGAAACGAGGAGAAAGAACTCTGGGGCATTCGTTGTCCCGTTGCCGTTGGTGCCGATTCCCAATTGGCAGGGCTGGGAGTACCAATCGGCATTGAAGCCACATCGGCCACACCCATTGGTCTTACCAGTATGACACTCGTTAACTAAAAATAATGAACATTTAGTCTTTCGACAAACGGTCATCAAAACAGCGTCAAAACAAAATTAAAACTGATACGAAATACTATTTTTCCAAAATAATCTTTCTAATTGGATGATTTATTGAATCAGTCTATTTTTAGAGTAGAACTCATTAAATATGAAAAATTGATGCACAAGGTTTCTCTTCTAATTGGTTTGCAATGTTTGACCGTAGACGAAGAACCATTTTAAATAATTTTTATTTTAAAAATGAACTAATTTGAAAAAACTAATTGAAGAGCTTAATTGAACACTATTCTCAATTTACAAGTATATCTCAATAATTAGTTCATCTTAGAACTAATGTAGGAAAATACATAATTATTATGTACCATTTTGAGATGCTAGAGCCATATGTCCAAATGATAATTAAACAAACCAATTACATCTTGAAGAAGAGTGTTAGAATTCGCATATCAAAAAATAAAGAAAGAATACCACTAGCATATATACAAGGATGAAACCTTACCTATCAACTTAAGCTTTTGAGTTAAAAAATGAATCTTGACTTTATATGCAAGTGGTATTCTTTATTTTCCCATGTGGGGACTCCAACACATACTCATATTTCATTTGAAAACATGAAATATGTAGTAGGAAAGAACATCTTTTCTCTTAACAAGGCTATCTTATGGGACAAAATGTATATATTGATAAACATGACTCTTCATGAGTGAGCAAGAGTAACTTGGAATATCTGTAATAAATAAAAGGGTGATTTAAAGATATCATGACCGGTTCCTGGCATGGAAGTGTTCCAAAACTACAATATTGCCTAGGGAAAACATAAATGGTTGGCGAATAGGGGTAAACTAGTTTCATAGCAAAATAACATGAAGAAAAAGCTCCTCAACGGTAGCGACGAAGAGAGAGTGTCTGATTCCTTTTCCATGTAGCCCGTCTTGAGGGACGGGCTTTGTGAAACCTAGCTCCTTTTCCTCTGAGTCCTCTGTTCTCCTTCCCTGCCGATGTCAGTCCTCGAAGCTCTCGGTGCTTGTGAACAGGATTGCAAATCCAATTGATTCTTGGATCATTTCTTATGGCTGCATGGGCTTGATCAACTAATATGACTTCATAGTATTTGTAGGTAGAGTCCTACAACCAATTAATATGAAGAATCATCAAATTAAATTGTCACACTTTTTTTGGAGAAACAAACACTGTCAAATGATCCAGTAGGAACAAACCTCATTGATCCAGTAGGAGTTCAGAACCCTGAGACCACCAAGCTTTCTTCCAGCACGCTCTTCGGCAACTGAACGCTTACTCCTCTGAAACTTCAATTGAGTCACACCCTGGTTTGTGGGTTTCCCATAAACAATACCCTTTGGTACTGGTCTCTTTCGGCCTCCACGTCTAACACGCACTCTATAAATGACGTATCCCTACAAAGAATATCATGGTTGTCGGCAACTGAAAACCAAGAATATTTCAATGGGGTCAAAATAAAAAATGCTCTGTATTCCTTAAGGTCTTTGTGCTATGGTCATTGAGAGCTTGTTTAGAGATAGCTGAGCGGAAAATCATAACAGCATTTTAAGAACACATCTAGGTAGATGATACATATGTACTATTTGATCACATTACAAATCTGACAAAAGCAAGTCAAAGGAAGACATTTAAAAAAAGCAATCACCAAACAAAGTCTAGCATCACCAGATTTTAGAGTCTCCTCTATGAGACCGGAATGAAATGCAATTTCGTCCCTACAGGTTGTTAACTCAAGCCCAATTCATCTCTTTTGTGTAAAACTGAAACCCAATGCAACTGTTATTTACAGACTCCATAATATAAACCCCAAGTCATACAAGTTAATTACATACACACACCAACGGGTACTTTTTATAAAAAAAAATTGCAAGCCTTATTGCCCATATCTGTATACCAAAAAAAACTGGTGGCATTCGTGTAGCCTATATTCGTTCAATAACACACTACATTTGTTGAGATAAAACATGTTGGAGAAATCACACTAGCATCAAATGGCACAACTCAATGACATGAAATAGTACATAGTAGTTTGTAAGAAGCTCCCAGTCCATCAAATTGAACAATCAAAACCAGTAGGAAACCTACCCAGTTCCAAAGGTGAAACTTCCAGTTTAGTTCCAATGGTTATGCAGCACAAAACCTCAAAAATATCTAGTCACTAATGCATAACATAAACAACAATGCTACATATACAAACGAACACTCAAACCAATGAACAATCCGACGCAATGTACCTGCTTGGCTTTGTAGCCGAGGCGGCGAGCCTTGTCAGGACGAGTGGGCCGCGTGATGCGAGCTAGTGAGGGAAGCTGACGATACTCCCAGCACCTCAATCGGAGCAGGAATCTCATCACATCGGATTGCTTCTTCCTGTATAGCTCCGACATATAGGAGTACGCGCCTGAAAAAATTTACAATTGAGAAGAAACAAAAACGAATTCATCGGTAATGCAATCAATCATGAACCTTCGACTCAGAGATGAATGCAGCTTTCTGATGAGGAGACTTACCCATTGTAAATGGAGATTGGCCGTGCCGCTGCAGCAATCGCAGCCACTGCGCCTGATGGGGTTAATAAGAATTGAACATTAGGGTTTGCTCGGAATACCGCCAAGGCGCCAAAAGTTTTTCGGCCCATGCGCTTGTTTAATAAAAAATACTCCCTCCGTCCCAAAAAGATTTACATTTTTCAAAAAAATTGCGTCCCACAATCTTCTACCCATTTCTATTAAAAAACCACTTTTACCCCTTACTTTTTCAAACCCTACCAATCACATCATACCTTTTTCCTAATAATCTACACATCACATCCTACTTTTACCCATCACATCAAGGATATTTTTGGAAAGTCAACACAAAATTATCCCTCCCTTAATTTCAATTTTAGCCAAAATGGATAACACTTTATGGGACAGAGGGAGTATATTTATTGAGCATTACCTTTTATTCAATCTGATTTTTTTGAATCAAACATGATAAATTTAAAATTTTGATTATTCTTAATTTGTATTGATATTAGTTTAATGAAATAAAATTTTTAAAAATTCTCAATAAGATAAATTTAATGTATTCATTTTTATGTTAAAATGCGTTATTGTTTTTATTTATCTAGTTTGACTTGAAAAATTCAAACTGGATAAATACATTATAACAAAAGAAGTACTCCACTATGTATATTTTGTGATTTTTGTACCAAAGTTATCCTTTCACTTCGAATAAATTCTAAAATCTCATTCAAATCATTTCATATGAAAAATGATGTAAAATTGAATAATTAAAATTAATATTAAAAAATACATCAAAAGATCTATAAAATTAATATTTACATGATTATACTATTTTATCATATTAGTTACGTAAATAGAGAAAAAAGTGAATGAAACTTGATATTGTGAATAGTAAATAGACAACTTAATTTGGAAAGAAAGGAGCATAAATAGAGTAGATTAAGCAAAAATCAGAATGAATAGAAATGCCTAATCTCATACTACGTATCTTTTAAGTGAATTTTTTTTTATAAATTGAAATAGATGTAAAAAGTATACATTATATTATTTTGTTTATTGTGATCAATGAAAACAAGCAAATAAACAAAAGTGATTAGAATATCACATAATAAAATTCGAGAATTGAGGGAGTATGAGTTAAATTAATAAAAAGGACGCATGCAAGAGTGTGAGACTCCTTTTTAAATTATGGGAGTTACGAGGTAAAATTTCTAGTTTTTTAAAATTATTTTATGTATAAAATGGTACTCGGATATTAATAAAAAAATAAAATGCACATATTAAAATGCTACGTCAAAAGTCTTATAAAATAAGAAATGATTTTTTTTGTCAATTAATAACTAAAAATATACAAATAAGCAAAAATTTTCGAGCGTTGAGAAAAAAATTGTAATCTATTTTGAGACAAAGGGATTATGTTTTATTCTTTTTATGCCAAAATTGCCCCTACCAATGCTTCCCATCCGCTCAATTCCTCCTTTGCTCATGAAATTCCACCTCCTCAATCCCTAACGAGGTTGCACATCAGACTTCGACAGTCACAAGCGGCGACCGAAATCATAGATGCTACTAATATCTTCCTCACATTTAAACATGTTTCTCATAATGATTTTTGCACTATTTCGACCAGCCCTTAAATAGCTCCATACCATCAAGGTCTATAGAGTCTTGATACACCACTAGTAGCTAGATATGAGCAAATTCTAAGTTATCAATCATTTCATTCATATAACAAACAACAATAACCGAGTATAGTTCCACAAAAATACGGTCTGAAGGGCATATGTATGCATATCTCTACTCCAAAGTAGAGTGCATGTTTCGAAGAGACTCCCAACTCAATCAAAACATAGAGCACAGAGCACAAAAGAATAGTTTCATTTATAAAATGAGTAAAATGACTTTTTTTGTATAAATAAATGCATGATCCAAGAAATTAAGAAGTCCACTAAAATATTCATTAGGTCTATGTGTTATTATCGGGGCTTGGAATAGGGTTGGAACAAAAAAAAATGGATGGAATATTATTTTTAAATTGTTTTAAGTAAAAATAAAAAGATAGCAGCAACACCATATCAATGAACATGCTATTAGAGTGCCATGACGTGGGTTAAAGAGTTGTTATAGTGGAGGGGGCATAAAGGAAGGTGATCGAGTGTTCCTTCTTACGTCCCATAACATATATTCTTAGTGCTATTAATACATGTGACTTATTAACCATGAGTTAGACATTACATTTGCTTATCAACAAGCACTCATGAGTAAGTTAAACAAACCTTTTACATTGCGAAAAAGTTAAAAAAAAATTCTACTTATATGGATGTTCTTATAACAACATGACACTACTTATTACAAATATAACGTGATACTACTTATTACAACTATTGACTATCTAGATAATCGTCTTACTTCAAACAACATATAAAATTCTCTTTTTAATAGTATTTTATCTATAAATTAGCATAAAAATAAAAATTTTGTATTTTAAAATTACATTAAAATTTTATAAAACAAACTATGACAAGAATATGATGAAATAACGAACAAAAAAACACAAATAAGCAAAAATTATCAAGACTAGAACAACAACATATCTCAACTTTTGTTTTAATTCTAAAAAAAAAGCTAAATGCCAAACAGTCCTTTTTCATTCCGGAACAACGAGGAAGAGATCTATCATCTATGGCGAAACACAAAAAAGCTACTCCGTAATTTACTGCAAAAATTTCATATCCTCTGAATTCCTGATACTCCATCACAACCAGCAATCAACATAATTCTTCATATTCCTTCAACGCAATTAAAGAGGCAATTCAGGAATGGAGGCTTCGCAGGGCGGGGGAGGATCAGAGCGGGAGAAGTCCAGCTCCACGAAACCGCCGTCTGCTACTCCGGCCGCCGCTGTCGCTAGCTTCTGGAAGGGTACTGATGATCTCTTCAACTTCTGCTATCGATTTATGCTCCTTATTTGTCATTTTCTCTTTTTTTGTTCGACATCCGCGTGATCTTCTCATTTTGTCTGTAAATTGTGTGTGAATATGTAGTAAATTCACTTTGTAGCATACTTACTTAAATGATAAAAGAAGAAAAATTGTATTCTGGGTTTTACTTGGGTACATGCGTGTTTCCTAGTCATAGTATTATATACATAAGGTGCTCTGTGTATGCGGATCATACCATGTGTGCAGAATGTTGTGAAGTTCAAGTTCATGCAGCGTGGCAATGCTGGGGAACTACTCGAAATGACAATGCCCAAAAAGCAGGGATCAAGATCTATGTTACATTTCCTTCCTTTTTTTTGAGATCCATTTGGCAGGGATCAAGATAGAATTAATGACTTGTAATATACGGAGTACTTCATATTATGTGGAGTGGTTGATAATAATGTCAAAATCCAAAAGTGCATCATCTTCTTCTTTAAAATTTATGAATAAGGTGAGAGATGAGTTAGTTCCAATTCATGTTTGTTTTCAGACTTTGATTTGGAGAAAGAAAAGAGTATACTAGACGAACAAGGTCTTAGAATTGCTGAAAACCAGGAGAATAGTCAGAAAAACCGTCGAAAGCTTGCAGAGAGCACACGAGGTACTTTTCAAGCTATTCTATTTTTTTTAATGCTGCATAGGGATTTGTACAATTTAAATCCTGCTTACAATGTTTTGATTTGATTCTCTAAATATATGGATGATTTTTAACTTTATAGTTTACACTAAACTTCTCATTTTCGCCTATTGCTAGATTTCAAAAAAGCACCAAATGAAGAGAAATTGAGCTTATTCAACTCTTTACTTAAGGGTTACCAAGAAGAGGTTGATAAGCTTACCAAAAGAGCAAAATTTGGGGAAAATGCTTTTCTTAACATTTACCAAAAACTATACGAGGCACCAGACCCTTTTCCAGTTATTGCTTCAATTTCTGTAAGTAAAAGTTTGGATACACACTGTATAAATTCTCTCAATTTTTCTCTTTTTTTCCTGTTATATATGTGTTGCCTATATGCAGGAAAAAGATTCAAAATTATCTGAATTGGAGTCTGAGAATCGCAAAATGAAGGTAGAGCTTGAAGAGTATCGTATGGAGGCAACTCACCTAAAGAACCAACAAGCAACAATAAGGAGGCTTGAAGATCGTTGCCGCCAATTAGAACAACAGGCTAGTAGTTTTCAATCGTAGATTGTCACCTTCTTTACCGCAGCAGCAATTGGGTCAAATTTATTTTGTTCAATTTGCAGTTCACCTAGATTCAGCAAAAGTTTGCATATGAAGTAATTGATTTTGAACAACTGCTAGACTTATGTACCGAGTCTATTGACATTAATCTTCTTACTTCTTAGTGATAGATCTTCCCTGCTTGCTGGAGATTTTATGGTCTCTTTCTATGACATTTGCATTTCAGTAGTATTTATTGCAGAAAGAATTCCATGAATGGAAAAAGTTGGCCTCTAAAGCATGGATTTCTTTCTATTCAGATGGAAGAAAAAGTGAAGGAAATTGTGGAGATTAAACAACGCAGTTTGGCAGAAGAAAACCAGAAAACCTTGGAGGTTCTGAAGGAGAGGTATTTTATCCTTTAGGAATATAAGGGTGTAAGAGAAAACCATCATTGAACTTCTAGGCTTCTCAAATGTAGTAATCTAGCTTGAATAAGATTTTTCATTGCTTTCTATGCACCTCATGATTTGTTTCTCTTCTGTTGATGACTTGATGCAGGGAGCAAGTATTGCAGGATCAACTACGGCAGGCTCAAGATAGTGTTTCCACCATGCAAAAATTGCATGAACTTGCACAGAGCCAGTTGTTTGAAGTTCGTGCTCAGTCAGGTCCATTGATATTGAAACTAGATCATGCTCTATACATAAAGTTGTTAAATATTGTCACCATCACCTTCATAGTGGTTTCATGAAGTTTCACTAAGTTGCCAATCCACTATGGCTCTAAATAGTCGACCCAAAAACTTATCCACCATAACACCTTCATGAAAAACAAAATCTTCAAGCTGTCATGTAATCACCCTTTCCAACATGTGTTTGCACTCAATAATTATGGTCATACTGCCCAATATTTTCTCCATGCAGTTTAATTATTTGTTGAACTCAAAGAAATCCATCTCATCTATAAATTGATGTAAGCCAAATAAGATATATGTAGGTCACATTCTTTCACATGAAGTTTTTTTACATGCACCTTATGATTGACTGTGTTCATTTTTTTCCTTTTTGTTTATTTAATTTTTTAACTATAGAGGAAGAGAGAGCAGCAAAGCAATCAGAATTCAATCTCTTGATGGATGAAGTTGAACGGGCTCAAGCTCGCCTGATGAGTCTTGAGAGAGAAAAGGTACGTTCAAAATGCATGTCATTTTGGATGAATGAACTAGTTTCTAATCAATGTTCTTGTCCCTATCTGTGTTGTGATCCTCATTTATATGCGAGGTTTCCTTTAAAATGAGATGTTGTTTTGTGTGCTATAGTGTATTCAACCCATAAGTTACCATAACTCCAAACTGATGAAACAGGACGAAAATTGAAGCAACAAGAAACTTCGCTTCAGTTTGAACTTTAAACTGATGTATCATGTATGAATAATAATACATTTTTTCTAATACAGCAAACTTATTTTACTTAATAACCAGCAAAAACATGAAACGTTATTTCCAGTCTATATTTATATCCTACACCTTATAGTGTGCATATTCATTGGAAATTACTCCGTATTAATAAATTTTACATGCATTTGTCGTGAAATTCAATGAGTTGCAGCTACATTTGAATATTAGACTTGATAACCTTCTTTTTGTGCCTGTTTGTGGGCGAGAAGTTTTTTTCTTCTAAATTCTCACAGAAATGTCAATCTTTCTCCTCCTGTACCTGCTTTTTCTGCATTTGAATTAGATATGATTAATGATTTTTTTAGTTAAAACACTCTTGCTAGTTTTTAAAGCATCTTTTACTCTAATTTAGTTATTTTCATTAGATTATTAGAATGCTGTAGTTTTTTTTTAAAATCCTTTGCATATCATGTAGGGATTGTTGCGTTCCCAGTTACAATCAGCTAATGAAGACAATGATGAAAGGAAAAGGTGAATTTCTTGTCACCATTTTGTTGCAGTTCTATCACTTGGTTCAGAGTAGCTTTGGAGTTTGATATTGCCAACTTTGAGTTAGGGTTGTATTATAATTGACTGTGTCAAATCCTTTTTTTAATATATTTTTTGTTACTTATGTATTTAGTGGCGGTGGGGTGGATGGGGTGATTTGCTAACAATATTCTCTGTCATTGTTATATTGCTCCCAATGGTGTTAAATGACACTTTCCCCTCCACCATTACTTGAGGTCCCAAGAAGGATTGAACTTAGAAGTAGGTTTGTGTAAAGAAGCAGAATGAAAATGCTTACATATTGAACTTTAGGCTCATCCGAAGCTAGGTTCACATGTTAAGTATTAGCTGTATTGCCTGAAATATATCTTAAATAAATGGCTTGGTTGTGAGAGAATTAATGATACAAGTTCAGATTATGTTTGTATTGTTCTCTCATGGTCTAAAGAAAAAACATATTTTGAAGTGTGGGCTGGAACAACTCCAGGCAGATCATAAGATGATCGAAAGTGAAATGAATTCTTGCTTTTGACAAGGGATGATGGAATTTCAGAGAATTTCTTAATACGTGAAACCAAATGTCATATATTTGTTTCCATTTGGTAACTGTTTGTTTGATTAGATTAGTATGTAGTGGATTTTAATGACTTGAGAACTTGAGCCTGTGACTAATTCTAAATTCAAAATTTCATTCTTTAGCTGAATAGAGCAAACAAGGAAAGAATATCACGTGTTCATTTCAAAAATGAGTTTAATGCATGTAAAATTTGCCACTTAGCTTGAATGTTCTCCAAAAATGTAAGATCAGCATAAGTATTATTGCATTGGGCATGTTTGTTATTTCCAGTCACACTTCAATGCCATCTAAGTTGATTTTCAATGTGACCGGAAGGGCATGTGGCATACTACTAAGCCTGTTTGCATGAATATATGTGTGAAGACTGTGGACTACTTTTATACAATTGACACTATACATTTCATACCACGGACTTCACTGTAGTTGCCTAGCTGGGATTAAGGTTCTGATGGATTTTGTGGATGCATATGCTGGGCAGAAAAGTTTTCATTCTAAAATCTAACTTCTCCTTGCTGTGATTTCAGCGAAAGTTTGGATGCAAATAGCATCCTTGAAAACTCCATGAGTGCCAAAGACAAGTTAATCTCTGAATTAAATGCGGAACTTCATAATTTGGAGAATACCTTATCAAATGAGCGAGAACAACACTTGAATGAGATGAAGAAGCTGCATGCCCTCCTTCACGAAAAGGTCTTCATTTTCTGTTAGTCTCAACTGGTTACTTTGCAGGGTTGGGAGTAGGGATTGGCAACAGGCAAGGTTGGGACACACTAGCCCAGATTTAGTGACCATGTGCTGGGCCAAGTCGGGCTTATATAATAAAATATTTAATGGGCTAGACCGGTATGTTCATTAAGTATTTAGGTTGGGCCGGTATAAATATTCAGCGGATCTAGATGGGCTTACACATGTAGCAACTATTTACTTCATCTTCTAGAAAAATTGCCAACTCGAAGGGTCGAAGTATCTAATGCAAAAAATTAATAAATTAATTACGTATTATAATGAATTTTAATACAAATGTTCAAGCTTGTCTAAGCTCCAAATTGGTCTGCTATTAAATAGGTAATTCAATTCACAAATGAAGTGACACCAGCATTGCACATTTGCACTAAGGCTCATTGCTCATATTCAGTACTCCCTCCCCCATGCTGCTTTAGTTTTTCCAGTTTCCTTATTGTCCACTTTTTCCTAATTTAAGCACCATTAAAACTACAATTTTCTCAATATAGCCACGTGTCTTATATATTTAGCCCATTTATTTTTTCACAATTTGTCCTATATCTTTTATTCTCTAGATTGTGGCAAAGTTGGGAAGAAATAGACAATTTTTTTATACATATAGCTTGAGTTAAGTTTGGTATCTTTTGTGTATTTAGGGACTGAGGGAGTATCACAATATATCTGCTCAGATTGTTTATGAAAGAAAATAGGTTAAGATCTATAGGCTTGTACGGTTGGGTTTATAGCATTATATGTGTCCATTTCATTGGTATTTATGCTGTTGAACTTTTTAGTTAAAACTAATAAGTTTCATTGGTATTTATGTTCTTTGCTCTACATATTTTAAAGCTTGACTGCTATGCTTGTTTATCTTGTCAGTTCTAGTATTAGGGGTTAGGACTTGATGTTAACATACATGTTTGTTTGCTCTCTATTTCTCTATAAGAGATGTTCCATCTTTTTGGATTTGTTTTTGCATTTCAGATTATGTGTTTTCTTTTCCATAATATGTTTTGCTTACTTATTAACCTACAGGATGTCTCTCTAGAAGAAACAAAGAAGGAACTCCAAACAAGACCAACACTTAAGCTAGTGGATGACTTGAGAAAGAAAGTAAAAATTTTACAGGTTAGGGATTTTGTTCACTATTGACTGTAATAAAATAGTGAAATGCTATCCACTCTTATTTCACGTCTTTGTTTACTTGTCTTTTGGAATTGATTGGATATGTTGCATCAATGTTGTATGCACTAATCTGATAGTTGTAGGGTAGTGAGTTGCCAGGCATCCTTTTGCTCTGGGTAATTAGGGTTCTAGGGGATACCTAGTAGTAGTGGGGTTTTGCTTTGTGGCTTTTCTTTTGTTTTATAATCTTGGGCTTAATGACATACCGGTCAGAAGACTTGAGGAATGGACAAATGGGTTGTGCATAAGAGGGAGGGGAGACCCAAAAAGATGTGGGAAGAAGTTATTAGAAGCAATTTGTTCTATTTGGACAAGATTATACTAATGGGTATGAAGAAATGACGAGTGAGCATTTATCTGAATGACCGAATGTGATTCCCCTTTTGGTTCATGTAGCGGACCACAAGTTACATGTGATATATGGCTGGGTTATTGTTGTTGCATCATTCTCCATTCCACTCTCTCATTTATGTGTTTTGTTTATCCTAGCATTTTTTTCTGGACTATTCTAGTGTGATACAGAGTAATAGAGTATAACATTTAGTTTTGTTTCTGCGTTCCACTCTCTCGTATTGTTGTTGTGAGCTGGGGGTCTTTCAGACACATCCTCTCTACTTTCTATAAGTAGGGGTAAGGCCACCATCAGACCCCATTTGTTGGATATACTTGTGTAAGTCGTTGATTGTTGGAAGTTTTATATATAGGCAGTTGGCTACAACTCAATTGAGGCCGAAGATTGGGAAGCTGCTACAAGTGGAGAAGAGATGAGTAAACTTGAGTCATTACTTCTTGACAAGAACCGAAAAATGGAGCATGAGTTGACACAGTTAAAGGTGCATTCCAACCCCCTGCTAGTAATACTCTATCCGTGAAAAATCATTGATATTTTAGAAAAATGTACACTTATTAAGGAACATTACAGATATCCCAATCTATGATTATTTAAGTTTTACATTTAATGCATTTTAGTTCTTTTTATGGTAAACAACATGTGAAATTTGCACTAAATAGTACTAAAACATATGTTATTTCCTAATGTAGTACTTGAACTTTTTTATTCTCTAAATAGTACTTAAATAATGCCTAGTGGCGGGAACAATGTCCAGTGATGGTGGACATTTAGTTTAAACAATGTCCAGTGACGGAGGACATTTACTTGAACAATGACCAGTGGATAATGCCCAGCGGTACTACATTGGGAAATAAAAACATATGGTACTACATTGGGAAACTCACTATGTTTTAGTACTATTTAGGTAAATTCCCCAAACAACATGTGGTATAGGAAGATGTTCAGGGCAATCCAGCCAGTTGGGGCAGGGGCAAGTGTTTGGTTGGGAAATGGTTTAGGTTCTGTGTACCAATTCACCGTCATGTCCTTATTAAGTTATTGTTTACGTTTACTGTGTAGGGATATGGTGCAAAATTCACATCCATCCTCTCCCAACCTCCCAACCCTTATCATTATTCTTAAATTGATAGTGCCAATCTATTATAAGCTCACACTTTTTATTCATGCAAAAATACATACCAACAATGTGTTATGCTAGTTGCCTTTCCAATCTCAAGGTTCATACAAAGGATAACGAGATGAAAAATCTAAACAGCCATCATCATAAGTTATCTATACCTGCATGGTAAACATCATGAGATAGTGCTGCTGCCATGCAGACATAAATTTACATGCAACAAGCAATATGGCAATATGTCATGCTTATTTAGATCTTTGATGAACTTATATCTTGTTGATTAACTTAATTTTCAATGACATGCATGTTGAAAATGTAACATACTACGGGTAATATCCAGAAAGCTGTGATTGTTGATGGCTTTAAAAATATTCTTCAACTTTTAGGTCAAGCTCTCAGAAAAGACTTCGTTGCTGGAATCGGATCAAGCTAAAATTACTGATCTAAATGCTAAGGTCAACGAACAACAACAACTAATCCAGAAGCTAGAGGATGATATACTAAAGGTCTGTGTAATTCCTATGCAACTCTGAGCTCAACTCAATTGATGGTTACATTGTTTAATTTGCATTTTTCTTCTCAAGGGTCTAAGAGATGCAATCATGTTGCAGAAATGGGGCCATTCTTATTTAAACCTGTCTGAGTTAGACCGGTGTTTGATACTACATGAATAATTAGCTGACTTTGCAAAGGTGGTCTTGATCTATTTTCTCTCTCAGGGTTATAGTTCGAAAGAAAAAAAGAGTAAAATCTTTGAAGAGTGGGATCTGTCAGAGTCTGGAGGAACTGAGCAATCTGAGGTAAGCATGCTTCTGTTTGCTCAGGCATTTCACACCCACTCTTTATGTTGTTATTCACATATTTTTCTACTTTTAAGTATGTTGAGTTTTTGATGTATATCGCAAACCTTGATATTGATTGCTGATTGAGATTTCTTTCACTACATAGACTGAAGAACAAAAACGTGCTCAGTCAGATCAAGATCAAAGCTCAATGCTTAAGGTGATTTGCAGCCAACGAGATCGCTTCAGGACACGATTACGGGAGACTGAAGAGGTTTTTACCTTTATCTATCAGCATTTTCTGCTTTTTTTTTAAATTGATCAACCATTTATGTGATACCTTCCTCTTCCTCAGTTCCTCTGCAACATGCAATTACATTTCCATTTTCTCCTATTAATGATTCGATAGGAAATAAGGCAGCTGAAGGAGCAGATAGGGATTTTGACGACAGAACTTGAAAAATCTAAAGCAGACAATGTTAAACTTTATGAAAAGATACGATTTGTCCAGGATTACAACTCGGAGAGAATTATTTCAAGAGGAGCAAAGAAGGTAGAACCTTATCAAATTCATTTGGTATTTCCATAGTTGCCTTTAAAGATCTCTACTCAAATGTCACCTTGTTATTTTCAGCATGCTGAAGATTTAGAAAGTGGTTTCAGCTCTGATGTGGAATCCAAGTACAAAAAGATGTATGAGGATGACATAAATCCATTTGTTGCATTCTCAAGGAAGGTTTGTTTGTCTTCTTTTTATTCCCATGTCATTTTACTTGTTTCTTTTTTTAAACTTTCCCCCTCAGGTTTTAGACTTTAAGGCCTTGTTTGGTTTGCAGATTTTGGATGGGAGAGGTGGGCAAAACTGGCTCAACTAATTTTATAATATCTCCTTAACTAAACAATGTATTTCTTTATAATGTCTAACTTTACTTCTCTTCCAATGAACTGATGCATGAATTAATTATTAATAAAATACTGTAAATATCACTCCTCCCCTCCCTTCCAAAATTCTCCAATCACACTAGGGGTTAGTGTTGTTGTTCCCATTCATTACCCTTTTGAATTTATTTGAAGTTCCTGCATTCCCCTTGTAGAATAAAACAACTTAATCTTTTTTTTTCTCGAACAGGAAAGAGATCAAAGATACAAGGAGTTGGGCTTGAGAGATAAAATTACTCTTAGTAGTGGACGTTTCCTTCTGGGTAACAAGTAAGCTTCCATATTGTTGCATAATGGTTCATTGGTAGCGGTAACGTAATTAAGGATTTCCCTGATTCTTTACTTTGATGATCTCAGAGGTAAATTGCTCTTTCATGTGGCATTGGGTAGGGGCGGGGTAGCATGTATAAATAATTTAAGAAGGGATAATGATCGATAAAACCCCTCTACACGGTACTCATAGAGAAAAGTGTAATTAGGCTACCAAAGTCTTCTTGCACTATAAGTCTATAGTTCTTCTTTTTTGAAGAAATCCTACTCCAGACGTCCATAGAATGTTTTGCTTCAATTCTTTTTTTTTTTGTTAAAAAAACAGAGTTCTATTTGATCAAACAAATCCACTTTTCTTGTAATATTTCAAAAGCGAATTTCAAACAAGCCAAATCTGGTACTCCTGTCCTAAAAGTAAGCTCTTTCTTGGGACGTCCCAAAATATAGTTCCCGCTCCTTTTAAGGAACAAACTTCTCTCTCCTTTCCATAAATCTCAACCCCACTATTTTTTTTCTCTTTGAAGCGTATGAAAAAGCAAACGAAACTTGATTTTGGGACGAATGAAGTAATTTTTTTTCACACAGAAATAAAGTTATGGTGTCTTACAAACCACCTTCAAATCGTTACCCTTATTCACATAGTGATTAGTGGAATGAAGAAAAATCCGATCTTTGCAGATACGCCCGAAGTTTTGCGTTCTTCTACACCATTGGATTGCATATTTTAGTATTCACCTGCCTTTACAGGATGTCTGCATTGAGCAATCTCAGGTAACATTCTTATTATTTGAAAACAAGTATTAATCTCTGACTAAATCATTTTTTTTCTGATTTCTTCCACTCATTCCTACCGATCGAAGGGTGATTCAATTTTATTTTATTTTACTTTTTTTGATTGCAGCAATGTTTCTGAAGATAAGATTATGGATCTTCCTCATCCAGAATAGTGCCTTTTGTTCCTTCCTACTGTGAGAGCAACCTTAACAAGTTCACACAGTGCAAATATGAAACATGTATTTTCTGGCATTTGACCTTCACTGTAAATGTTGAATATTTTATGAGTTTATACTCCACAGGGTATGATTATGGACTGGCATATCATACTCTCTCTGCCCTGATTAAGTTCTCGCTTTGACTTTTTCAGTCAAAGTTTACTAACTTTTACTGTTAATTATTTGAGAAATCATGTAGCATTAGTTTATGAAATGAAAATACTAAAAATAATTGTTCATTAGAGATTTTATTCAATATATGATTGTAAATAATACTCCGTACAACAAGCTCGGTATATTCTCACAAGTGAAGTGGTGTCTGCAAAAGATGAGATGTACACATACTCTATTGACTCTACATATGAATCAAGAAAATAGAATACGAACTGCATATTCTTTTAGGTGCATCGCATTTTGTGTATTATATTTGTATATCCATATAGGCATTTTTTACTTATACAAGAAAAATATTTTATGTTTTTTTACTTAAAACATAAAATAGATATTTTACTTAAATTTAGAAGTACATATAAAAAAAATCATTGACCATTGAGATTAGGGGAAGAAGTAGACATAGGAAGAATTGGAAGGAAATGATTAGTCATGATCTAAAATTTTGTCCTTACTGAAGATATGACTTTAGATAGAAGTGTCTAAAGAACTAGAATTAGGAGTGCTTTGCATGTTTGGTATTTTTTGTCCACTTATTGTGTGCTTTGTTTGCTTGGTATTTTGTGTTTGTCGTGTTTATGTTTTGTTTTATTAGTTTGTTCTTGGCCTATGTGTGCTTTTTGCCACCTCTGCTATATGTTCTCTGTGATCTTGTTTTATCTATGTTGTTCGAGTTGGAGTTCTTTTGAAAACAACTCCTTCCCTCTTGAATAGGAAGAGCAAGGTCTATGTACACCCTCTTATGGGATCCAACTAGATTATTGTTGTTATAAATGGATTAAATTTAAAATTTTACAATAAAATAATTTAAAGTACATAATTTCACTAGCATTTCATTCCTTTATGTTTTCTTTCTTTTTTTTATTAAATTTTAATCAGCCAAAGTCAAAATAACTTTAAATTTAAAAAAAGTAAAAAATTAAAAACAAAAAAACTAAAATGTTAAATTAAAACTAAATAGCAAACGAAAAAGAGAAGAACAACAAGAAGAAGAAAGAATAAGAAAAGAAGAAAAAGACGAATCTCGACCATCACAGTCACATGGGAGAGGGCCATTGTTTCGCTAGTCTCGGTCCTGCATGGCGACGGGGATGGGTGATCCATCAATCTTTTGTATAGATACATTTTTTTTGAATAGTGAGTGTTTGGTAAATAGAGCAAAAGTACTTAATAAAACGTGTTGAAATGTTCATTTATTTTGTACTCAATAAAAAATACTAAATATTACATACACTACATCTTTTTATTAGTAAAGAAATTATTTTAAATAAGAGTAAAATACATCAAAAATATCAAAACAAGAGTTTAATGTATTTATCTCTAAAATGAGAGTTTACACTATGATAATATAGTACTGTATATGAATATTTCGTAATATTTTTTGATATTATATAATACATGATTGACATTGTATATATATCTTAACTTTTAATTTAGAAATAAAAATATGATATTTTTTTTATATATTTTCTATTATTTACACTTAATTTAGTTTTTTCTCTTATTGGTGTTTTCAGCAGCAACAACAATGCAATAGAATCTCACAAAAATAGGATTTATGTTTATATGACATTATCCTTACTTTAAAGCAAAGAGACTCTTTTCAAAAAATCTTAATCTTGGTCAATTTTCTTACTACGGAATAGTATTTAAATAATCATTTATTTATCTCACAAAATAAAAATAAAGTACCGAAGTATAATTTTTTGAAAGCTTTCCCCAACAAAATATCCGTCGTCACCATTCAGTGAGATCATTTTATCTCCTAAATAAAAAATAAAGTTAATGTGCTGAATAAACAAAGAGTGCATGGGTATCGTACGGTACTTATATAATTTATAAGCAGCTGAAAACAAACAGGTCGTTGTAGTATAGTGGTAAGTATTCCCGCCTGTCACGCGGGTGACCCGGGTTCGATCCCCGGCAACGGCGTATTTTTTTATCCCTTCTGGGCAGAAACTCCGTATAAGTCCCATTTGCCCTCTCTAATTTGGGTCGCGTCTTGTTTTTTTGGGTAGGTTACCTCATTTATTTCCAATAAATGTTAAATTGGAATGGTTTCGTTGATTTAGCTTCATTTTATATTTCTAAATACACCAAGGTTTAAATGATATTAAACTTTAATGTCATAGGATGACCCGGGGCCGCTCCGGTGCCCCGTTCGTAAAATTGATGGTTCCTACCCCCCGGTAAACCCCCCACCCCGGCCCTGATCCGAACACACCCCCCCACCCCTTTCAATTGCACCCACAAGTTGATTTTGACTTTGGAGTCAAAATTTGACTACAAAGTCAAAATCAACTTGTGGGGTGCAATTGAAGGGGGTGGGGGGTGTGTTCGGGTCGGGGCCGGGGTGGGGGGTTTACCAGGGGGGTTAGGGGGGGTAGGAACCGTCAATTTTACGAACGGGGCACCGGAGCGGCCCCGAGTCATCCTATGACATTAAGGTTCAATGTCATTTGAACCTTCCCTTCTAAATAACACTAAAATGTACTCCGTATGTCATTTTTTAATATAGTACTAAAACTTTTTTATATTTTCTAAATAGTACTTTCTGGTAGCCTAAAATGATGTACAATAATGATTGATATTTAATTTGAATAATATCCCGTTCATACTCTTGATTTTACTTTCTATATAAAAATCTTGATAAATATTTTCTAGCATTATAGACATCAAATCCCTAATCTTTTCGTAAATGACCCAAATATTATCTTTTCTTTAAGGATATTCAATACAGTATTTTTCACACTAAATTTCTTTGTTTAGTTTGAAAATTATTAGAGGCCGGTTCTCATGATATTCGAGGCGCTCCCGTGTCTCGTTCATAAAATTGACAGTTTCTACCCCCTAACTCTCAATAAACTTCCACCCCACCCCGATTCGAACACGCCCCAACCCTCTTTCAATTGGATCCCAAGTTTATTTTGACTTTTGAGTGAGACTTAAAAACCATAAATCCATAGTCTATTTCCAGCCTCTTCACCCTCTCATTTACTTTTCTTTCCTTCAAATTTTAGACTGATAAATCATAAATGATACGGAAAAACCATAAATCCATAGTCTCTTCCCGCTGATGATCTGCTTCACCCAAACCGGAAAATGAGTTCCGCTGCTGCTACATCCACGTCAACCGCCCTTCTCTTCCTCGGCCGCCGCCGTCTCTTCTCTCCATCCGGCCCCAAAACGAGGCCGAGCTGCGGTCTGATCAGAACCATCACACATCAAGTCCGGCTTTCAATGTCCACCTCGGCAGGGCCCAAACCGGAGAAGCCGAATCCGCAGCCTTGGATCATCGTCGGCCTCGGAAACCCCGGAAAACGGTTCAACGGAACCCGCCACAATGTTGGATACACACGATTCTCCCCTTTTCCGAACTAGAAACCATGTAATTGCGCTGGATCCCTAATTTCTTCTCTTTGATCGATCCAGGTTGGCTTTGAGATGGTTGATGCTATAGCTGAAGCAGAAGGGATATCAATGGGAAGTGTTTCCTTCAAAGCCCTGTTTGGAAAAGGTTCCTCCAATAAAGTTTATGTTTTCATTTTAGGGAGTGTAAGAAAATCTTTGAGAAGTGAAAAATGTTTGGTAGATACTAGATGCTACCTCCATCTAGAATTAGTTCACTTTTTAAGAGCTCAACTTCTTAAGAAATGATTTTAAAATGCCAAATAAATCATTCAGATTAGCTAATGCTTGGGATATTTTAGACATTTAATCATGACTTTTTTTATTGATTACTCCGTATGAGACATTGACAATTATTTCCAGACAGAGAAGAATGAGAAACAAGACAACTAAATACAGATGGAGGGAGTCTTTGTTTTCACTCTCTGTTTACTTTTAATATAGAATAGAAGTAAATCAAGTAATAGTTGCTTTTGCTTCTATCTGTTTCTAGACTCACTGTTTTGTTTTTCCTTGAGAATTCCTTCATAGTTGTTAAATCAGCTTTGTTTATAATCATTTCATAACATTTTAGAAGTTTTAGAACAAAATAGTTAGTGTAGTTTGAGCTTCTAGTGCATTTTTTTACAAGCTTGTGCTTTTGTTATGTCTTTTTTAGGCTTCATCGGAGAGGTTCCTGTTATACTCGCTAAGCCTCAGACTTTTATGAATTTGAGCGGTGAGTCTGTAAGTTCACTCTTCTCTTTTACTCCGTAAGTGTTAAGCTATACCTCATTGAATTGGTCTAATATAAAAGTATAAGCAGCGTTTGAAAGATTGAGCTATTCTTCCCATTAAGTTAATCTTTTTGGATAGAAATCCAAGTCTAATGCTCTCCGCTTATCTTTTCTTTCATATACCCTTTTCTCACGGTCTAATAGAGATTTTTCGGGGGTCATTGCGAACAGGTTGGAGCAATTGTTTCATATTACAAGATTCCACTGAAGCAAGTTCTTGTGGTAAACAAAGTATTATTTACCGTAACTTGGGATTAAAGAAATACTCCCTTTGTCTTATAATAAAGTGTGCACTTTCCTTTTTGGAATGTTTCGAAATAAAGTTCTCATTTTGAAGGAAAGCGTTGAATGGTTACATTATTTTCTCTCATTTACATAAAATCCTAACTACACAATTTCACCTTTTCTTCAACTCTACCAAAAAGCAATCAAGAACTTTATATTTTGGGACAGAGGAAGTATAATAGTTACAGAAAATTACTCATGGGTGACACAAGTTTTATCGAAATAACTTTCAAGTCCCCATATTTTTAATAAGACAAAAAAGGCCCTTACATTTTGTTCTAAAGACTGAGAGAGAGGATATTTCATCCAATACTTCATTCATAGGCGTTAACAATGCATTTTTTCCTACTTTACCCTTAATATTTTATGGTAATAACTCTTAGGTCTCTCACTTTTTGGTTTCTTTGTTTTTTTTCTTTTTTTGTTACTCTTTTTTTGAATTTTTAAAAAAAAATTCTTCTAGAAAATTATATCAAAAATTTAAAATTGCTTGTACGATAGATTTAACTTTGTACGTAGTATTAATAATAAAAAAAAGTAGATCTAATTTTCTTTTTTCGATAAGGTCCTTATTTCATTTATTTTTTGAAACTATTTTCTTGAAGAAACATGAAAAGGACCTTTATGAAAAAACAAACAAAGTGAAAAAAGAGAAACAAAAAAAAAGGAAACAAAGAAACTAAAAAGTGAGAGATCTAAAAGTTATTACCATAAAACATTAAGGGCAACATGGGAAAAACAGGTTTATTAACGCCAATAAATGAAGTATTAGATGGAATGTCCCCTCCTAGCTAGTCATTACAACAAAATTTAAGGACTTCTCTTGCTTTTTTAAAATATAGGACCTGATTGTTATTTCGATAAAATATGCATCACCCCTGAGTAGTTATTTGATAATAGTTTATGTATAACTAAATTTGGTCAACCTATTCAGATTTTTGATGACATGGATTTGCCTTTTGCAAAGTTGAGGTTATTGCCTAAAGGTGGACATGGAGGACACAATGGGTAATTTCCAGCATTTAATTATTTTCCTTAGTAAGTCAGGAAAGTGAGGAAACATATGTGCTCATTCACATGTTTTCTTATATTCAAATTTACAATGTTATTTTTTAATTACTCTATGACTTTATATTTTTTAATTACTCTATGACTTTATTTCAATGGGATTGGGTGAATTCTTCCCTTTCATTTTCTGCCTTTTGTAATGGAAGGAGTTTAGGCCACACATTCCCTCAATCACACTTCAATGGGTAAGGTCTGGAGGGACCTTACTTGGTTGTTGTTTGTTTCCAACTTTACAACCTCTCTCTCTCTCTCTCTCTCTCTCTCTCTACTACACAATACTACTGTCTACTACTACTACTACATATCTTCCAGCTGGTTCTTCATGAACAAAATTCATGACATTTAGTACCACAGAATTTGCTGACATGGCATTGTCTCTCTCTTATGTTCTTGTACTTTTTGAAATGGAAATTGGGGGAATTTTTAAATCTGAAAATATGTTACTCAACCAATGGCCATCATAATTCCTAGAAACAAATTTCAAAAGAATGATTCTTTTGTTATTGGTTTTGGTAATTGCGGTTGTGAATGTGAGTTCTTAATTTCATCACCGTTTTTGTTGTTTTAAGGATGAAGAGTGTTATTGATCGCCTTAAAGGTAGCCGTGACTTCCCTCGTCTGAGAATAGGTACTTGCAAAATAGCTTTGCCATTTTGAAGTTCATCTGTTTTTTTGCACTATATTGACGACGCTTTATTTAGGGCTTGTTAGGCACTGTTTTTGTTCGATATTTCTCTGTTTATTTATGTTCAAGCAATTTAACAAAACAAAAGTACATGTTTTGCCCCTAAGCTTTGTGCTTTTTGGTGTATAGGAATCGGAAGGCCTCCCAGGCGAATGGATCCTGCAAGTTATGTTCTTCGGCCATTTAATAGAGAAGAACGTGCTGAGGTATGTGATAAATGTCTCTATCATTAGAGACATTTGGTCCCACCTTTTTATGCTCACCATGCTGATCAATCCATATATTTTAATGGTTAACACTGAGGCTCATCTATGTTGCACGGATTTTTCAAATAAGTGCAGCTTCTCGTCCCCAAAACATCGCCGTTTGGGTACCCCAAGGACGTCTTGACACCCAAATCATTCATAAAAGTTGAAAAAGTTAATGTTTCCGCATTGCCAACCTTGTCCATGTCCTTGTGTAACTTAGCTCATTTGGTTAATGGGAGTAAAAGTTCATTCTTGCTCTAGTCCTAAGAAAAGTTAGTTTTGTTGTTTGGTTCGTTGGAAACGACTTTCCCATCCTTGAATTTGCAAAATCAACAATCCAACCAAATCTTTTGTACTCGTATTGTTTGTTCCGGATAAACTGGAACAGAAATGAATGTGCTTAGACCTCTAATATACCCCCCAACTCTTGACCCTAATCATTCGTTACTCTGTATTTTGATACTGCATGTACAATGGCGGCATTCTAATCAATCCTAAACGATCAAACATCATTATCCCATACTTATTCCCATACTTGCTTATTCCAAATCTTACCAAACGAAGAATAAACATACACTCCTAGCCAAAATGCACTCATGTACGAAACTGGCTCTCATCCGTTGATTGTGTGTCCCTTTTCAGCTTGATTATACATTGCAAAATGGGTTGGAGGCGGTGAGAATTTTATTGCTCGGAGACTTCAACCGAAGTGCAACCTTTGTTAACAGTGCCAAACCTCTGCAACAATTTAGTTAAAGGCGCTGTTTGGCTATTGTCTTTTCTCCCATAAAACGTGTGCCTTTAACTTACATTGTTTACAGGGGTTAAAGGCGCGCGTTTTGAGCAGGTGGTATGATCAGCACCCAAAGTGTTATATGGAGCAGAAAGCTAACAAGGGTCATCATGTAAAATGGATAGGCTAGGAAAAGAGGTCTTCATTCAAATAGTCCAATTTATTTATGATTAGAATTATTATTTACGAGTATACACTTCTACAACTGCTAGTTTTTTGCTACTTAATTTTTGAATCTCTTTCAATTAGTTTTCGTTTTTTTTAAATATTGTTCGAGCTTTACATTTAGTGCCCCCGGTGAGATATACGGGCAGCACAAAGTACTCCGTATGTATTATCAAGCATTAATTAATTAATGTCCCTTCAAGAAAAGTTGTTTGGTACGAAAATGGCAAATTCTATCGTACAACCACATGTAATTTTGTTCGACGTGCACATACATAGTATTTAATTGCAACTCGTGCAGTTTAATAGTGTGTAGCTTTTCTTCAAGGTTTTGGTGTGTAAACAATGCTATGGTTTTGATTTCTTTATTTGGTTCGAACATACTTTTGATTTTACATAATTTAACAATTCCTATATTGTTAAACAAAAAGTAACTCATAGCTCTTTTGAGGCATAAAACACTGCCATCAGTTATCGAAAATATAGTGTATAATGCTTCTTGATTTCAATAGATTGAGGAATGTCAATAGATCTTATTGATCTAAAAAATTCATGTATGTTATTACACACTAAGTATTTGATAAATTACTTCATCTGTTAGGGTATATAAAAATCATTCATAGGTCACAGTTACAAGTTTTAATTTTTAATAAAGTTGGTTTCTTAACACTATCTCATTTAGATCCCTTCTCACCACCGCTAGACCGACAGAACTGTCACCCTACTTATGCCCCTGCTTGTGTTGGATCCTACCCCCACTTTTTAAAAAATAAATTATTTTTACTTTATCATATTATTTTTAATTTTTTAATCGATCTGATTAAAAATAATTTGTTTTAACAGCTCACAAACAATAGTTAATGTTAGTACAATATATAAATTTTTAGAATTATATTCATTCATCCTAATTTAAATTTTTCCATATTGATTTATAATATTTAACTGAAATTATTTTCAAATTAATTATATAAAATACTCCCTATGTAAAATGATATAAAATGATATTTTAACCATAGATTGCCCTCCAAGTATTTGTCGTTTCTTCATCTTCTTCGTCTTGCTTGACGTAGACTGTATTTGTATTAGAAAGAGAGCTGCTCTGCAACCGATCTACATCACCGATCCTGCATGTCGGTAAGTGTATCGGCTTTCAATTGTATCTGCATGATTGATCGAATGTGTAATTTTGCGTGTGAATTGCGGAGCAGATCTTCGAGTACAACGGGAGTGCCCTAGTGGCTATGGTGGGGAAGAACTGCTTCGCCATCGCCAGTGACCGCCGCCTCGGTGTACAGCTGCAGACTATCGCCACCGACTTCCAGAGGATTTACAGAATCCACGGAAAGCTGTTCATTGGTCTCTCCGGTCTGGCCACGGATGCCCAAACCTTGTGCGTCCAATTTCTAATTCCATTTGTGGTTTCTGCTGGTTGATTTTTACGCAGCATTTTATGTTTTTTCGTAAGTAATTAGAGGTTAATTAGGTTAAAATCGTTAGCTTTTGTTCTTGATCATTTATTAATTCCCAGGTTGGGATCAATCAAAGGTGGAAACTTTGTAATGCAGTGGAAGTTTGAAAGTCTTAGTACTCCATGTATTAGTTTTTCTTTTTAAATTTTACTTGTAAAAGCTATTGGTTATCTACATAAGAATACATGACAGATAGAGGAGAGCCTCCAACAGGCAGATTGATCCCTGTTGGACTGTTAAAATTAACACTGAAATTCAAATGTATTGTGTTTCTAATATGCAGGGCTAATGATCATTTTAATTTCGTAAAAGATATTATATAGGAAAATGATATGCAACTTTCTATTCAGGTATCAACGGCTCGTGTTCCGGCATAAGTTATATGAGCTCAGAGAAGAGAGAGATATGAAGCCTGAGACTTTTTCCAGCCTTGTATCTGCTATTCTATATGAGAAAAGGTATCCAACAGTGTTGCTATTATATTGTGGTACTTGTATGCTCAAAATGTGTGGGCTTTATTAGTTTATGTTAGTCTTATGAGAACCTGGTCTTGCAAGTTTGCAACTGCTAGTTTATTAGTGTAGATACTTATTGGCACAAGATTTACTTTGTTAAAAAGTGCCAGTAGTAGAATACTAAAGAGTAGTATGGTTGCCCTCAACTAATTTTCTCATCCTCTCTTTTCACCCATCCCAAAATCATCTCTCATTTTTGTTCAAAAAAGCATTATGTTGTATATAGAATGTATTCTCTCTTTTCTCTAAATAAACACCTCAACTAAATAGTGTTCCAGTTCGATATTGAATCATCGTGCACAGTCGAAATGTGTTTTATTTAGGGACGGATGGGGTATCATCAAACACCTTTCCGCAATCCCCACTATGGGAAACATGAACAGTGATCCAATGCTTTCCTTGGTTTCAGTTAACAGGCTTCTGAATGATATATACTGTAAAATCTTTATCTGGGTTTCAGCTATTTTCTAGTTCAAGGTAATGCATTCTATGGTTTTAGTGTAAGTGACTGCGCAATATAAAAATAAGTTTGTCCTTTTTTTGGCTGAAAATGTACAAGTGTTGGTTTGAAAACTCACCAATAGCTCTCACAAATGGTCCCATGGATGAATGTTTCAGAAGTATTGCTTAGCCATTTTTGGAAAATTTATGCTTCATAATTCACTACTTTCATTCATGTTAATCTGTTAGCACTTTTAAGGTGAATTCTACATATTACTTAGTTTTGTCATTTATTTTGGGATAGTTAAATTGAGTTCATGCCCATCATGATTGATGATATAAGATTTAAATTGTTTTCTCTGATTTAGATTTGGTCCATACTTCTGCCAACCTGTAATTGCTGGATTAGGGGATGATGACAAGCCTTTTATTTGCACAATGGATTCAATTGGAGCAAAGTACGTTCTGAATCTCCTTTCATTTTAATCTCCCGAGTTCTTAGCACTGTCTAAATCACCTTCCACTTTTATCTCTTGAGCTTTAGCACTATAAATTTTTTATGCATCATAACGATTTTAATTGAATTACATGTCAAAAGAATTCTCCTCTCTTTTATGTAACCTTTTTGCTTTTAATTCAATTCTCTTTTCATTGACACACCTATGCTAAAATTGTTTGTGTGGTACAATTTGTTGGGTTGGAGCTTCAAGCTGTTCATAAAAAAGGAGCCTAAGGGTGACATCTCATAGTATACTTGATACAAATTAGGAATTGACTGAAAGGGAACAAGTAAACTAATTATGGGTGGCGAGCAGAGAATTAATTTGTACTCCGTACTTTTCAAGTCACATATTAGTTTACAGTAATAATGATACATGATTTGATGGGCCTGCCAGTGTGAGACTACTGTTTCTACTGTTTTTAAGTGTGCCTATATGCATGCAAGAGATTTTATTATCATTTCTGGGGGGGGGGTCCTATGATATTCTTTTTATTCGCCTATTTAGCAATCAAAATTCCAATTTTTTTGGTGTTTATTGTAAACATGTTCTTCGGTCTTGTACCCGTAAAAATTGCAACTAAAGATATATTTAGACTGTAAGTAATGTGAATACAATGCAGGGAGCTTGCCAAAGATTTTGTTGTTGCTGGGACTGCTTCAGAATCACTGTATGGAGCCTGTGAGGCCATGTTCAAGCCTGATATGGTTTGTTTCTGTCCACTTTGTGTCATTTCACATGACAATATGCAATCAAATGGACATTCTTTTATGCATTGAAGAAGACAGTTTCTGTAATTCTGTCATTGAATCTCATACAAAAAGATAGTCAGACACAGAACAACTTAAATTCTCTTGTTTTAGTCAAACATAGCTAACTAAATCTGAAAGCATTTCCTTGCATAATGTTAAAGAATATCTATGGACTAGTTTCCTTGCATTGGATATCGGTTTCATAGCATTTACGGTCATGTTTTGTTAGGAACGGGAAGAATTATTCGAGACAATCTCTCAAGCACTCATAGCATCAGTGGACCGAGACTGCTTGAGTGGTTGGGGTGGACATGTTTATGTCGTGTAAGTTTCCAGACTCTCTCTCTATCTCTCTATGCAAAACTGCGTCAGTTTATAATCTAATTTTCTTCAGTACGGCATCTAGTTAGTTTGACACCTTCCCCTCCCCCATGCATACATCTCTCTCTCTTTGCAGAACGCCGACTGAAGTGACAGAGAAAATCTTGAAGGGAAGAATGGACTGACCATTTCGTATGAAGCCGACCGCGGTCTACCTGAATACATTTCCACCCAGTGCAGCTTCCATATCAGTTTTCAACTACCAACTCTTCATGTTCTCTGTTTCGGATGTTCGAATGAACCCCTGGGATTAATGTGTATTGACAAATGTCAAATGTTATTTCTCTTTCAGGTGTGTATTTTACCATTTTTCCCTATTTTTTTCTAAGAAGGTCCGTTTGGCATACGAAATTGATGAAATTGAAATTGAATTCCATGGAATTCATCAATTCCATAGAATTGAATTCCAAAGAATTGAATTCACCCATTCCAATTCATTTTTTGCACTATTTATTCTAAATCTACATAATTTTTGTGCTACCAAACACCAGAATTGGAATTGAAGTCTTCAATTCCAATTCCATAGTTAAAATTCCATTTATCAAACGCGGCCTTAAAAAACTAGTGTTTTTGGGGGAGGGTTTTTATCTTCAGTGAATGAAATGGAATTGAAATTTTTGATTTTCATTAGCTTTTTTTTTTTTTTTTTTTTTTGCAGAATGAGAATATAACATTTCTTAAAATTAAATTCAACATGTATTAAAAATTGAAAAAGTCTTTGAAGTAGATAGAAACTCATTTGCAATGCACAAGTGAAGGACACCCAAACCGAGTGGAAATGAGAGTTGTTTTGAAACATCTAAAAGTGATAAGTCTCTATGTCTTAATTTAATTTGTCCGTTATTGTTTATGATATTAGATCAAATTGTTTTCATATATTTTTATTTTGAAAATTGGTATGGAATAAAAGATCAAATTTATTTACGAACTACTTAAAAATTACATCAAAAGTTTTATGATTTTAGAGATACATAATTATATTATTTTATTATATAAGTAACAAAAATAAGCAAAGAAAATTATTATTAAAACTTCTCATATCTATAGTGAACATATAATTTAATTTAGGACAGATGAAGTGAATCTATTTTCCCATGTAGGAGATATAATCAATTGTCAAAATGCATATTATAATCAAATGTCAAAAAAGATGGTGACAGTGGAACAAATGCAAATTAAATCTCCTGTTTGTGTCCCAACTGTTTTCTAATACAAAATAAATAAATTGTGGTTAGTTAATCAGCAACCAATCTTGTTCAACTCTTTAATTTTGCCTTTATAATCTGTTGTTACGCACGTTAAAGGCAATATAATATTATAATGTTTGTTTAAATAAGTTGTTTGACCGATGATGTGTTCATTAAAAAAAGGTTTGGCCAATGATCCATTGTTTTAGCCAATTTTCACAAACAATTTCTCTACTTCCCTATTTTGATCGATCAGTGTTCATATGGTACAAAATCGATCAAACTACTCGTATTTCAAATACATTTGGGATCGTCTAGTGAGTTTTAGAGATATGATTCGATATAGATTTTGAAATATGATAAATGATACTCCCTCCGTCCCTAAATAAACTTTTCTTTTTGACTTTTTGAGGATTTAAGGGAGGGATATTTTTATGTTGACTTTCCAAAAATACCCTTGATGTGATGTGTAAAAGTAAGATGTGATATGTAGATTATTAGTAAAAAAATATGATGTGATAGGTAGGGTATGAAAAAGTAAGGGGTAAAATAGGTTTTTTAAGGGAAAAAAGAATTTTATTTGGGGACAAAGAAATAACGAGAGGGAAAGTTTATTTAGGGACGGAGGGAGTATATGTTTTAAAAAATTAGAGCGTCTTCGAACTCTCAATGAAAAGATGAAGAAAAGGATGGAAAATTTCAAGCGTTTTTGAGCTTCAAATTTTTAAAAAGAGAAAAAGTGATAACAATTCTTTATTGATTGATTATTGATAATAATAATAATGATACGAGATTACAATATATAGAGAAAGGAAAACCCTGATTGATCTAGTGAGCTCAAGTCCATACTAAACATTAAACATGATTAATTATAGAATATTAATAAATAACCACTAATTAATATAATATCATTAAGCTACTATATGTATCATTAAGATCATAATTTAATTAATGATAGTTGGGGGTGCTAGGCAATGTGGGTGGTTAGTGGTGACAATGGTAAGCGATGGGCCGATGGCCTACACACTTATTTGAAAAATATATAATAAATCAAAATATGTCTAAATAAGCTAAGAAAATTGTTAGGAGTATACCAAATGATAACTCCAAGTGTACACCACCTATCTCCATACCACATACGTAATACGGAGTAGTTTTTAGTGTAAATTAAAAAACAAGAAAATGAATAAATATGTATGGTTTCATACTTTAAGTTTTAGGAGTATTTTTTATCGGACTTTTAGGAGTATTTTAAGAGTGAAGAAAAAGGAAACGTTAAAGTTTTAAATGGGGAAAAAGTGACGTGGAATTTCATGGCTTTATTATGTAGCTACGTAAACTTAAATGTGAGACTTTGAGAAGCACAATGTCATACATGTTGAGATGAAACTTATTGAAGCATGTAGTGATGTACTCCTTCCCCGGGTGAATTCCCTGTTTGTGTAAAAACCGTGCAAGTCAAACCTAAAACGGATTCGGCTAGTCCGTTTCTTTTAAAATTTTCGAGTCGAAACGGAGTAGCCAAATTCGTAGTGCACTGTCAGAAAAAAATGTCTGACTTACACTATCAGGAATGGGTTTTTTTTACATATGTTCGTCATTTACTCTCCTTCCCCCTCCCAAAAAAAATAATTATTAAAGGTGAAAAAATATGTGTCTTAAAAGTTATGGATTAGTAATTTGATATTTTTTTATTACGACTCATTTATCTCACATATCATATCTTACCTTAATATAATTTAAAAAAATAAAAAAAAATATTAAAATTACACATTTTCAAGGCATACTTTTTTTTTCTTTGAAAATTTTTAAATGAGCGAAAATATAGTATAATAAGGTGACCTCGAAATGGTTGAACCCACTTGTGACCTTTTTATTCATTGCCCAATTTATGAGCTACATCTGCTATCTCAAATAAAGTACCTTAGCTTTTTTTTAAACTTCCGTCCATAAATAAATTTCTCGTTCACTATTTACAAGATAAAACTTTATTCATTTTGTTGGTCTATTTTCATTACTCATTCGATAAAATAATATAGTCATGTCACCTCTAGTTTTGTAGATCATTTAATGTAATTTTTTAAAATGTAATTATAAATTTTAAATTTTATAACATTTTTAATATAAAATGATCTTAAAATAACTTCAGTCAAACATCGTAACGCACGAGAAGTTTATTTTGGGACGTCGGGAGTAGCTTATAGTAATGCCTTTTTTTTGTTTTCCAATTTATTTGTCTACTTTTTTTGTTTTTATTTGTAAATAATTGTCCACATCTTTTCAATTGTCGTCAAAAATATCATCTCACTTCGAAGAATGTGTAAAATCACACATCTTTTAGAATTATTTTATTTAAAATATAGTATAGATGTAAAAATACAAAATTATGTTCCACTCGGTAAGATAAAATATTGTGCTAATATTTAATTTTCCTCTGTCTGAAATATTCTCATTGAAATGTAGTTTTAAAATATCAGATTTTTCTAAAATGTATTTATGTATAAATATATATATATTAATGATCAAAATACAACATTGAAAACCATAAAAAGTCAAATGAAAAAACATTTTCGAACGGTGAAATTATAATTTTCATGTAATTGACAATTAAAATTTGTTCAACTTGAAAAATTAAAATAGACGAATAATCTAGCACTTGTTTTGAGATAAAAAATGACACTCCATACAATAAATACAAATTGTAAACACTTATAAAGAGAAGGAAGTAAGAGATGATTTTAACATAAACACGAATGAAAAACGAGATGATAATTTACAAGTGATTTTATCAAAGTTACTCCGTATAAAGTATAAACAAGACAGACACCACATAGTAATAAATTATTTTTTCTGTAAACCGAACATACCATACTTAATTTAATATTTTACCAGTACGCCACGCCTATCTTTATTTTTATTTTTTTTTTCTTGCCAAAGTCAAAGGCATTTTTTTTTAAATTCTTCTAAAAATGAATAAATATCGAAATTGCCACTTAACTTTTCCCTCCTAAATAATGTAGCAATTCTATTCTACTACGGAGTAACTATATACGGAGTAGTTAACATTTATCGGGACTGAACCCGACCTGTTTGTTGGCCAGGTCATAACTGACACGTGTCCCCTGCTGCTGGATGTTACCGATTATTGACAGCGACCCCGACGTCGGGGCGAAGGCCAGGCAGAACTTTCCCGACGAGTCCACCGGGATCAGATAGTTCTTCGGGTGAAGCATCAGCGATTTCTCGCCGTAGAAATGGAACGCGATCGTCGGGACGGAGACTTTGCTCCTCGACGACAAGTCGTAGCAGGTGTCGAAGATGGCGAAATCTCCGGACGACGGCAGGTTCTGAGTGTGCTCCTTGAACGAGTCGCGAAGGGCTTCGTAGGCGGCGGACTGGAGCCTGGTCACGGCGGTGCCGGAGTCGACGATGATTCCGCCGTTTCCGCTTCCGTCGATCTGGAAGACGGAGGGTGGGATTGACAGCGTGTCCCCCGCGACGCTGATCCCGGTGATCCCCACGTAGAAGAAGGTGTTGATTCTCGAATTCCGGAGCATCGGCGCCGTCACCGAGTCACCGGGCTGGTCCGTGTTGAACTCGAGAGTGGACGACGAGCCGGAATCGCGGTCCACGAGGCAGTACGAGAAAGACGACGCTTTAATTTGGGACGGCAGCGAGACGGAGCCGCCGCCGAGCGCGATCAGCCCCGCGGCGCCGACGAAAAGGCCCTCGTTATCGTGTCCGCAACCGATCGCGACGTTGGGTACCGTGGACTTCCCGAAAGTCACGGTTTCCGTTGCGAGGTCGCCGACGGTAAAGGAGCCGTCGCCGTAAGAGACCTGGTAAAGGCAGGAGTCTCTGCCGCAGGAGGAGACTTCGAGGGCGGAGCACTGTGGGTCCTGGCAGGGGACCCGCCGGAAGGACGAAGACTGGGCCGGGTTGAAAACCGGGTCGGCCTGATTGTAGCAGTCGGTGCAGGGGTCACACTGAAGCCACGTCACATCACTGCCCGTATCGATCACCATATAGAAATCCTTCGCGGGCTGACCGACGCCGAGCCGGGCAAAGTACTCCCCGCTGCCCTGACTCACCCCGGACGTCACCGGACTCTCCAGATCCTCCGGCCGAACCGGCTCGAGATCCGACCGACTCAAGCCGGAAACCGCGAGGCGGAGCTTGGAATCGAGTGCGGCCGCGCGCGCGGCGTCGCGAGCGAGGCGCGCCGCCGTGAGATCGCCGTAGTTCCGGTGCGGGTGGCGCCCCAGGACAGATCCGCGCGGGTGAACAGACAGGGAGAAGGAGGAAGTGTTTGAAGCTCGGGTCGGGGGCTTGATGCCGGGGGACAGCGCGTGGAGAGTCTTCCGGATGGCGGCGGAGACATCGAGGAGCTGCGTGGTGGCGGTCGGAGAAGCGGAGAGAACGGGAGTGAATAAGAGAGCGGCGGCGGCGAGTAGGATAAGGAGTGAGAAGAAGGCAGCGGGTGAGGAGGAGGATGAAGCCATGGTTGGTTGGGATTGGGGTGAATTGAAGGAGGAAGGAAGGGGAGATTTTAATACTGGTAGTAATAATGGAAGGGGGAGAGGGATCACGTCAGTGTTGTTTGAATAAAAACAAAAGAAATTTAAAGAAAGAAAGAAAGGATGTTAACAGCTTCTTCAAAGAAAGGTGAGTAGATGAATGAATGAATTGGAGGGAGGGAGGGTTGCTTTCAATAATAATAAATGTGCCCCCCTCCTTCTTCCCTCAACCATTTATCTTTTCACATTCCTCCCTCCCTAAATTGATTACAATCTTTTTTTCTCTCTCCTCTCGCTAATTTTTGTTTGTTTACGCGATTTCATTAAGTTTTTGATAAAATAAAATGTTCTTGTCACCTCTTGTTTTATAGAACTTTTGACGTAGTTTTTTTAATATGTACTTTTTTTATCTTATTGATATACCAATTTGTAAATAAAATGATTTCAAAAGGTAGGAAATTTTACTCTGTAACCCGTAATTTGTAATCAAATTGGAGACGGAGGGAGTAGAATTTATGAATATTTTGGGTTGGTGTGATGGTTCACGCTGTCAAAATATATTTATAGAAACTTTTTTTATATCAAATTTATAATTTGTAACAGTGTAAACTATCAAACTATTGATACACATTGTGTATCAATAGTTTGATACACTTTTTAGTATACCTCAAACATGATTATTCACATTATTATTGTCATTCAAATTGTTGGATGGTGAGTTTTGTTTCTTCTATTTTTATTAGATTTTTGTTGTTTTTCTATCTCAATTATTTATTTTATTTTTTTGTGGTTAAGTATTATTGAGGAGTGGTTTGTAGTTGAGTCAACACAGTCTTAGGAGTTAGAAAAGAGAGATGGTACTTAAAGATATGGCATAGTCTAATAAACTTATTATTGAGTATTTGAGTAGAGTAATAAAATCAGAAACTAATCAATAAGCTTGTAATCACTCATTCGGTATAAAAGTGTGCACACTAGTTCCGTGCTCCAAGTTGCTCGTCGTTATTGATGATTAACTTGCGGGAGAATATTAGAAATAAAAGATGTATTAGAAAATACAATATTATTATTTATTTTCCTTCTTATTCCATTGCTTCCTTATTGCATTCTTATTATAATTTTCTCTTACTTAGATTAGAATGATTACCAAACAAATCAATGGAATTCTATTCATTTTCCTTCCTCTCCATCTCTTCCCCATTTCACTCTAGTTCACTTCCTTTTGTTGCCAAAATAGCGTGAATGAGATGAGAATAGATTATGGACCTGTTTGGGAATAACGTTAAATATTAACAATAGCGTTTTGAATAAAATTTCAACAGTGCAGATTAGTTTGAAAATACTAACGCTAAACGTTGTCCGTATATTACATTTTGAAAACGCTAACGCTACTTTCAAACGTTTTTCCCAAACATGCCCTATATGTGGAAAAATATTTGAAATGATGTGATAATAGTATGTATTTATGTGAAAAGACACAAATATATAATCTAGACCCCACAAATATACATACTCCGTATATATTTTCATAAGATCTTCCTCTTGTCTAGGAGTGTTTCTACCACATATCTCTCAAGTCCATACAATAATCTATGGACCTTCTTACATAAACATATTTATAGCTCCATGAATTTTTAAGTAGTCCGTAGGTCTACCAATGAATTAACCCTTGTCTAGATACAAAGGCCGTCCACATAGGGCCCCCCTATTGCTATAAGTTCTAAAATTTGTAGATGTTCATCGTTTTAATTATTTAATATTTTTAAATTTAGTTTTTTAATGAGTAAATATATACGGAGTATTTAAATAGTTAGAGAAAAAGATTAAACTAGAAATAAAATGTAAAGAAAATATCAAAATATGAGTGACATGTTTTTATAAACACAACCGGCGTTGTCGAATACATGAGTAGTAATAAACACAAAGTTCAACATGAAACACAAAGTTTCCAAACTAGATATGGGTTCTCATCAGGTTTCAACTTACATCAACGTCTATGTACACATAGAAAGGTAAGCAAAGCCTACCTTTTTATTTTTCATTTATTTTTTTGGGGGGGCAACTAGTGGAGGATTCAACAGCCGGGGGAGGAGGCAGGTTCGATAGAGCTGGATAAGCCATTGCCTCTGAGCTGCATGCAGTGCTCTTCGGCATCGACTTGGGGACAGACGATGACGACAGAGAGGCCATTGTGGTGGGCCTCTTGCATGATGTTGACCGCGTTGTCAATGGTCATCCCGGGTATGACCTTCATCAGCACTTGCACCACGTACTCCCTCCTGTTGTGCTCGTCGTTGTGCAACATCACCCGGTATGATGGCGACTTTTCCCTCGATTTCCTGTACCAAATGTTTCACAACAAAAATCACAAATCACGCAATCATGAAGATCTTCGCGGGGTGGAGGGAGTATCTTGAAAAATACTCCGGGTAATAAAGTAATGATGTTGTTTCCTAGGTAAATTGAGAAAACAAAATCAGAGCTACGACATGGTGTGCATGTGAATTATATGGTTTAGCAAATTATTCAGACCGGTTTCAAAGCTGCAGATCCAACAAAAAGTTTGGTGTTGTAGTAATCAAGCAGCCCTACAAGTTGCATCTAATCCGGTCTTGAGAAAAAACAAATTGAAGTCGAACGTCCTTTTACCCCTCAAAAGATACATAAAGGCATTTTTGCTACCATGCATGTAAAAACCGAGGAATAATTAGAAGATTTGTTTACTTAAGTACTGAGAAGGACTCTAGTTGATAATCTGTGTAACAATTTGGGCATAATAAATACAGAGCAGTTTCTAATTTTCTATATAAACTCCAACTTGACAGGGGATGTAAATAAATAATTGTAAATTAGCTGTTAGGAGTATCTCTAAACCATCCTCTAGCACTTGCCAGCATCCTCCAGCAAACAAAGGACTTACGATATCCTCCATTAAAGAATCAAGAAATATCAAGGGAATGGACTTATGAAGAAGACTACGACTTAGAAGGCTTTCTTTATTATAAATACTGTATTGCTTTTGCATTTGTGAGCACAAGATAGGACTCCTCCATCCGTATTTAGTATTTAGTTGTCCACTCTCTTGTTTTCATTTGAACGGAATTAGTAGTCCATTTTTCATATTGAATAGAAAAATTGTGATTAATCTCTAAAATATCCTAGAAATGGGGTATGAGCATTGATGACATGAATGAGTGACAAACTCATTTGAAGGACTTGATTGACATTTTAAACTCATTTCTTAAAAATGAGACTTGTTAGAAAAAGGACTACTAAATCTGTATGAAGCATATTATTTCTCCCTCTCTTCTGAAACAGGGACAAAGTCGGATTAGTCCATCTAAAAAGCCCAAAGCAATCACACTGATTTTCCTATTTGAGGGTAGCCTTAGATTGCACTGGTAATTTGGTAAAATTTGAGAACTATTTAAACCAAATGCCTCAATTAGATGAAAGAGCATGGCCTAAGTTATAGGATTGATATCCACACCTCAAATTAAACTCAGATTCACGGGCAGGAGTTGTTTTCTCTATTACAGGCCTGTCTAACAACCCGCCGCCACTTTTTCCCATTCCAGCAATTGGCAATGCCATTACATTGTGGCTTCCCCATTGAATTTGTAAATGGTTCTTATCTCCTGTAGTATTAACATCATCACAAGTTTGAATCTTATGTTAGTGTTTTCCTTTGATTGTACAGCTTTGTAGTTTTAAAAAACCACCCCCACCTCAAAATAAACAAAAAACAAAAGAAAGTAGAAGTCGTGTTTGTAATACTGAAAATCTAAACTTAATATTACAAACACGATGGGACAGATGTAACATAAAACCTCAAAGATTCACAGACTTGGGAGTACAATAATAGGGGAAATAGCGTCAGTACCCCTTGTGGTTTGCAAAATAGGCACCAAAACTCCCCTGTTTTCAAAACTTATTTCTAAAGTCCCTGTGGTTTCAAAATGCTGCACCCGTGCCCCTTCTGATCTTTTTCCGGCCATTTTTCCGGCGAAGAAGGGGGGCATTGGTGCATATTTACTAAACCACAGGAGGTATCAGTGCTGATATTTATTTCTCGCTTATTTTTTGTTTTTTTTCATTTTTCCTTTATTTGTTTCATTTATTAATAAAGGTTTTTTTAAAACTATTTTTATAATGTTCATAAAATTTAAAGTTTTTTTTTTGAAAAAATCATATAATGTATATGTACGTCTCAAATCAACAATTTTTGTTTTTTCTGAAAAAGTATTTTTCCATATTTTTATTTTTTTATTCTAGGTTTTTCTTTTTGAACTTTCCAAATAAGTACGTAACAAAAAGTGAAAATGTTTAATTTCAAATAGATGTAATGTATGTTAATTTTTTTATTTTTATTTCAAATACAAAAAATTTTAAAACATTATAAAAATTGAAAATAAATTAGAAAAAAATCTAGGAAAAGGAAAAGGAGATAGAAAATATTTAAAAAAAGGAAAACACAAATAATAAACGAAAAATAGAAATTGAGCACGAATGCCCCCTATGGTTTAAAAATTATGCGCAAATGCCCCCTCTTCGCCGGAAAATGGCCGGAAAATGATTAGAGGGGGTGTAGGTGCAACGTTTTGAAACCACGGGGACTTTAGAAGTAAGTTTTGAAAATAGAGGGGGTATTTGTGCCAATTTTCCAAACCACAGGGGGCACCGGAGCTATTTGGCCTACAATAATATGCTAGAGTATGCAGAAAACTGCAGAAGGTTGAAACAAAAAAAAAATTCAGACCCAAAATGCATCTAAACCTGAAGAATACTAACTAATACGACCAACATAGTCCTCTAAAATTTACTATCCTCTGATGCAATTTAAAATGAAAGAGCAAGGAAACAATTTTGATAGCCAATTATGTGTAGAACAAGGGGAAGAGCACAAGCATTATTCCATGCATGAGAGGGGCACACTCTATTACTATTACTATATAAACAATGCATCATGGAAACATTACTGACATGAAATTATATTAAAAATTGCACATAAAAATGAGTTCGTAAATTCTTTATATCGCATTATCGCTTAATCTCTCCATAGTCATTTGTGTAATCTTTTTTGATTTTTTTTGTCCAGACCAATTAATCAATCCAATTTAAATAAAAAAAACTAATCTTCATTATATCTGAGGTTTTCAAATGAAAAAAGGATTACGAACAAAATAAATGTGTGCAATTTAGTTAAACAAACAAACAAATTGAAAGGTACAGTTATATTTGATGATTTCTAACAGCTGTTTCTAGAGGATTTCAAACATTTATTTTATGGAATGAAGGGAGTAAGCTTTATAATCTGTATAATTATTGTTCTTTGAATTCCGGAACTAGTTTATGCAGAGTATTGCTTGTACGGCCTAGTGAACTACTTACTCATAGAATTTCCTTCTCAGCACCTAAATTAAGTTCACATTTTTCACCAAGTTTACCCGTTTGAAAGAAGGAAAATGCTAACGGAGCATTTTTTTTATGATGCAGGTTTTCCCCATTTACTGGTGTCCTGGTTTTTCAGAAGTCCTCTCACAGTTCCTTGTTTCCTACTTCTGGTGTATCATAGATAGATAGAAAGAATCATGTTTTTGATAGGCGATTTGGATTGGATCTGGATGCATAGATCTCCTACCTATAAATCCTCTGAACTCCGTAAATAACAACATTTTGACAAGTTTCACTGAATCTTCTCTCATAAATGGTCGAATACTATTCAGATAAAAGCGTAACTAAAATTGACTAAGAAGAAAGAAGAAGAACCTAACTATATCGGACTCCAGTTTCGATCCCCCGACTTCGAAAAATCGAAACCGAAGAAGATGATCGCAGTTTACGGATAAACAGAGAGATTCGCACCGTTAGAGTAGAGAGATAGAGTCATAGAGAGTACCAGGGATTGACGGGCGAGAGATGAGTTGAGATAGGGGAATTCGACCGAGAATGGCGGTCTCCATGGATGACGATTGAAGGAGAATCCTCTAATTCTCCATTAATGCTTCTCTCCCTCTAATATTCTAATAATGCCGTAATGGTAACAAAGGTAAATTACGAATTACGCCATTGAAAGAGAAGCCTTGTTGACATTTTTTGGGGTGATTCCATTTACATCTTTCAAAGATTATATTACTCCCTCCATCCTAAAATTTTTTTCCCAGAGCATTATTCCAATTTTACTAAAATTTAAAATATTCTTGTCACCATTTGTTTTGTTGAACTTTTGATGTAGTTTTTAAATATGTATGTTTTATTTTTTATTTCTATACCAATATTTAAATAAAATAGATTGAAAAAACTTGTAATTTTTCCTCGTTTTGCGCAACGGGAAGAAAGATATAGGACGGAGGGAGTAGTTTTTTTATAAAGAAAAATTATCGAAAATAATCCTAATTTTATATAGTCAAATAATTTCATATTTTCACTGTGATGTATCATAATTTTAACTTTACTGAAATTAATGAGTTTTGGATCACCGTTAAGTTGTTAACGACGGGTTAATAAAAATAATATAAATATATATGCAGTGATGGGTTTAATATTTTACGCAATGTACTACTTATTTTTTAAAAGAACATGCCGGTCGATAAAGTTAGAATTGTTCGAGATATTTTTTTAAAAAAAGAAAAAGTGGTACTTTAAACATAAATATATTTCCATCTTACAACAATTATATTTTATAAAATCTAACTATTAAAAATCATATACTTTAGATATTTGTGTTATGTTGATTTGACAAAATTTTAGTAATAGTTTAAATGCACTTTATTTTCCATCCGTTCCACAAATTTTTTTACCTTTCTTATTATTTGTGTTCCACAATTCATTTATCTTTTCTACTAGGTATTAAAAATAATTTTTATATTAATTTTTTTACATGCCTTCACATCATAGTTATTGATTAATTATTTACGTATCACATTTTATTTTTTATACATCACATCAAGAGTAATTTGAGAAGCCAATAAAAAATATCTCATTCTTAAATCTCATAAAAATCAAAACAAGAACTTTGTGGGACGAAGAAATAGCTATATTAGTTCGCTTGATTAATGATTTTGAACAAACGCTCTCTATGTGTATATTCAAATATCACCCGAATTGAATACATAGTGCATTTAGTCAAATAATTAGTTCGCTTGATTAATGATTTTGTATTTGTTTAATTCTCATAAATACAGTGCATTTAGTCAAATGTAAAAGTAGATTTAGCAAAATCTCCTACAAAATTGTTGCCTCAAATCCACTCAATTTATTGAACTACTCTCTAATATATTTATCCTTTTTGTCTAAGATATCAACTTGGCATCAATCATTTGGAAGAAAAAACAAACACAAGAGGAAGAAATTAATGAACAAAAAAGCAAGGATTATGCTATGTGTACCCCAAGGTTTGTACCCCAATTTGTACCACGCAGTTTTGCACCAACATTTTGTGTTGGTGTAAAACTAATTTTTGTTAAATGCACCAACATTTATGTCCGTGTGAATTTTTATTAACGCACCAACACTTATGTCGGTGTAAACCATCGAAATGTTTGTGCAAACCTGTGATGTACAAATGAGATATATTTTTTGGGGTAAGTGTAGCATGGTCCAAAAAGCAAACCGAAGAGGAAGAAGAGAGAAAAAAAGGAACACGAAGAATAAAGTGGGGCTTTTAATCAGTGGTCCGGCTTCGGATCTTCCGCGCATGACATGATATACACGCGGATCCGATTAGAGATGCCACGTCACCACGACGAAGGCAACCCCCCATTCATTAAAATTAAACAAACCGCCGTACCATTTCTCCCATTCCATAAAAAATAAACGACTCCCTGCGCCTTCCTTTCCTCTCCGTACCGCAAAGAATCGCCGTCGACTCGATCATCTATCTCCGGCAAGCTCCGGATTCGTCGGAGTCGGGCTCTTCTCATCCCGGAGATTGTCATATTTCCGATGTCGGCCGTTCGTGGATCCTCGATTGTTTGAACCGATGCAACGATTTGTCGACAGCACCCTCGCAATCACCAAAGAGTGAGTCCTTATGTTCTCTCGTTTGCAAATGAAATCGTTTTGTTGAAGATCCTGGTTAATTTATGATTCCGGCGTGTTCCTCTGTTGTTATGGTTGTGTTTGAGATGATAGGTTGATTGCTTGTTTTCTAAGGGAATGATGGAGGTTATTGAGGATTTTGATCTGGCTTTAGCTGGCTCTTTTTGTTATTTGAAACTGAGTGGTGTGTTTCGTATGGGGATATTCAATCATAAACTCATACAGTATAAACAAAATAGATAAACCCAATATACATATATATATATACACATTCAAGAGTAGGGCCAGGATTTATGCTGACCTTAGAGAGTCCGTTTATGAGAGATCAGTCCTAATTTCTACACGGTTTACACTGTAATACCGAACAGGTCGGACTGGTTTAGGTGGCATTGCATTTTGAACGTCTCAAAAAACGCACTGGAGTAAAGAGTTTTTTAGCTTTCCAATTTTGTGGGTAAATAATGGATGTAGTCCAGATACAATGTATTGCCATGGAGGAGATTCAGTAGACCATATACCGAAAGTTGTAGAAATAGATGAGGATATTGCTTGAACTTAAATGAATTGCCTTGCCAGATACAAAGAGTTTTAACTTGGTTTAGTGATGCCTTGTCAGGTCCGTGAAGACATTCACTTATGAATCACTGAATAATGTTGTAAGGCTGATAAATGGAGTGTCAGCATTGTTGTTAACCATCTTGCCCGGAAAGACTTCCATCCTTGAAGGCATTCATGGGTGGGAGCTCCGGCCAACTTTTCGAGGACCTAGACTTCCACGCTGGATGGACAAGTGAGTTTTTCCCTCTTTTTCTGTATTAAATTTAATTCAAGCTATATTCCTTACAACTCCGATTTTTGTTGTTGTTGAGGGGTGGGGTCAAAGTTTTTAACCTCGGGAGTTCTTTAAGACCCTGAAAATGTATATACTCTCTCATTGACCAAGGACTGCCTTGTTTAATGGCAAATCCCTGAGACTTCATATGAAAAGTCTCACATTCAATCCACATTCTACACATGTTCATAAGAGTACACACACACACATGTACACACATATATGTATATATTAACATTCTTCTTCTTTGTGCTGTCAGTGGTGTCTCCTCTTTTAACCATCTCATTCACGAGCTTTCTGTTGACTCTGATGGCTACTCAAATGTGGATTACTCATCTGAAGAAGAGGAATACAGTGACGAAAATGTATACCCAGCAACTCCACAATCACAACGTTCTCGAGTATCCATTGCAAGCAGTTTTCCCAAGCATAAGAATCGACATTGGTCACATTGGATTAGATGCATCTTTTCATGGCTACTTTTTCCTATAAGGTTTATGTTGGGAATACCTTTTTATCTCCATGGCTCCTCTCAGATGGCTACTAATGTCCCAGGAGAAGTTCGGCCCTCTCATGTGCATGCTATTAGGAGATTAAATACTCATAGGGATCAAGTTGTACAACGTGCCACTGATAGAAGGCGTGGTGTTGTTGAGGTTTTGATTTAGTTTCTTATTCTTTTTTTTCGGAGCAGGGCTGTAGGTTTAATTTGTTACTACTATTTGATTACTGCATAGCTCTATGAATGGGCCTAGGCAATTAATTAACTATCACTCTAAACACAAATATTTTACTCCCTTTCTGGTTTGGCTTGTGTATTCTCTCACCCGTTTGAAAGGCTAGTGTTCTGAATGGCTTTCGATCCTCTACATTCTTTATTTTAACTGGTTATGGTCTATCTTTCTAAATTCAACCTTTACATAGTGGGGCACGGGTATGAGAGCAGGGATTGAAGAAATCCTAACTCATGGCAGGTGTAGTCATTTTGGGTCATGCCGTTGGCTTATTTTAAAAGTTTTTGATTGCTTTTTTTGACATCTTTATTGACATCTTACGTTTTTGTGGGATTTTATTGGGTCTGTTGTTGTCACAACTGTATTGGTATCTTTAGATTGTTTTATGCACAAATCTCTACATTAAATTGTGTCTTATCTTGTTTCATGCAGGATCTTCATCTAGCCATTGAGATCTCTATAGAAACCGTTTTTGAATTTTTTCACAAGGCTGCTCACTGTGTACTTTCGCCATTCGACTCTTTTAAAGGCATGATAAATTGGTTTGCTTCTGATAGTGCTGATTTTCGAAATGCTCCTAATGATGGTGTTGCTGTCTCTGTCACCACCAATACTCTATCCGACAATGATCCAACTCCTGGAGAACGGAAGACTAGCTTTTATCATTCTCTTAATACAGATGCCCGGACATGTAAAGATGTCATAACAGAACTTGGGTATGCACTTTCTGGTTGCATTTTATACCTTCATGTTCTCAAGTATGTTTGCCCCTTCATATTCATACATGCTAACTGTGTAAGGAACATCACTATGGTCGATCTTCGGTGTAGAAATATGGAGTTTGTCTAGTGCACAACAGGTTTGTTACTCACTTTTGCTTTCAGGTATCCATATGAAGCCCTTCGTGTGGTTACCAACGATGGATATGTTCTTGTGTTGGAAAGAATACCAAGGTATGACTTTTTTCCCCAACAGTGAGCAATTATTTTCTTATGCTCCGAAAACTTCAAGGTGAATTTTTTCCTTGGATAGTGACATAGTGTGTGATACTTGTAACTTCACTTGCAGGCGCGATGCTCGAAAAGTTGTTTATCTACAACATGGAGTATTTGATTCATCTATGGGGTGAGTTATATTTTTACCATTGAGAACTGAGATATATTTAACCAGTGATTTCATATGAAAAAATTTCTGCTTAGCTTTGTATATTAATCTAACTGAAGCATAGTTGTGTTGATTAGTCTTAGGTGTATATCTTAATGAAAGTATCAACTTGCCATTGCAAATTAACCTTTTACTTTTGGAAAAATTCAAACAAATACTCCCAAAAATTCACAATTTTACGCCAATACTCCCAAACTCATTAATTTACGTCATTACTCCCAGAATTGTCTCATATTTATATCGTTACTCCGACACTGCTTAGTCATCATGTTTGCTACCTATGTTGCCATGTTAATGCTAAGTGGACAATTTAAGAGCGCCAACCGATAATTTTCTATTTTAGACAACCAAATTAACTTGCTTTAATTGTCTCCCCATTTTTCCATCATCTCTGATGGAGCCAAAATTTCACCATTTTTTGGCTTTGGGATGTGATGGAATAAATCAAAATGGATCTCTAAACTGTCTGCGCTTCTTTAATTAATGAAGTAGCAGTTAGTCAAACAATGCAACTTTTGACGTTGAGCCGGGGGTCTCTTTGGAAACAGCCTCTCTACTTTTGAGTAGGGGTAAGGTCTGCGTACACACACCCTCCCCAGACCCTACTCTTGTGGGATTTAACTGGGTTGTTGTTGTTGTTGTAATTGTCTCCCCATCGTCTTCTTCACACATCTTTCTCTCTTTTTAACTTCGTGAGGGTGTGTTTTTTTCATCTCAACTTTTTGAATCAAATTTGAATCTTTTAAGCCTAATCTAACCATATCTATAATTTAAAGCCGTTGCTGATTTGATTTAGTTGTCCACTCAGCATTAAAAGAAGAATATAATTATGAGACAATTCTAGGAGTAATAACATAAATGAATGAATTTGGGAATATTTATGTAAAATCATGAATTTTTGGGAGTACTCATGTGAATTTTTCCTTTATTTTTTTCTTTAATTTACTCAACACACAAGATGACCCACCGTCCCACTTCCCTACACGGTGATTGAAACTTGCAACATAATAGTTTTTTTCTAGATTTAGTTGTCCACTTTTCATATTTAATAAAAAATTATGATGAATTGTCTAAAATATCCTAGAGATATGGTATATATGGGGATTGCTGTCATGAATGAGTGGCAAACTCATTTGAAGGACTTATTTGACATTATAAACTTATTTCTTAAAAACGATATTTTTAAAATTGAAAAACTAAATCCGGATGGAGGGAGTATCAGATTAAGGCGGAGGAGTGCTCTGCTTGATCTATGCCGCTTTGTCCACTTTTACATTTTTGTCTTTATTATCAACTGCTTGCCTGTTTTACTTGATCTCAATGGAGGATATTCGGGGGAGGATGGGTGTGGCCTTCGTGGGAGAGAAGCTGTGGGAACTGGGAAGCTAACTACCTAACTGAGATGGCTTGGACACGTACAAAGACAAAGTATGGATATCCTGGTGCGGAGGCGCGGGAAGCTTGAAATATGGGGTGTGAGGGGTAGAGGTAGTCCTATGAAGAGTTGGAAGGAGTTGTTTAGACAAGACTTACAACTTCAGGATCTTATTGAGGGTATGGCCATAGGAATCTCCGGAAGTTTAGGATTAGGGTGGAAGTGTAATCCTTTGGTCCTTAGCGGTTTCTGCATGTGTGTTTTTATACTTTGCTTTGTAATTTCTACTTATATGCTTTGCTTTGTTTGTGCTACATTGTTTGTTTGCACTACTTCTTTTTGTCATTCTGCTCTACTTTGTCTTGAGTCAGGGGTCTCTTGGAAACTTCTCTACTTTCCGAGTAGGGGTAAGGTTTGTGTACATACACCCTCCTCAAACCCCAGTATGCCTGTTTCATCCCATATCTTGTCTGGGAAAGATTTGCAATTGTAGGGATTGTGTGTTTAGGTAGGGAGTGGTCAGGGGCTTTGGAATATTGATTGCATTGCAGAGACGCTCAAAGGGTTCTTCAATATAGTCTTTCAACCAATTTTCATTACTATGAGGGATTAATGGTTTTTTTAACTTTAAGATGCTATTTTTATGGATTTCCATCATCTCCGATGGAGCCAAAATTTCACCATTTTTTGGCTTTGGGGTGTGATGGAATAAATCAAAATGGATTTCTAAACTGTCTGCGCTTCTTTAATTAATGAAGTAGCAGTTAGTCAAGCAATGCAACTTTCGACGTTGAGCCGGGGGTCTCTTTGGAAACAGCCTCTCTACTTTCGAGTAGGGGCAAGGTCTGCGTACACACACCCTCCCCAGACCCTACTCTTGTGGGATTTAACTGGGTTGTTGTTGTTTGTTGTTTGTTTGATGCTATTTTTATGGCATTTATTGAATCACACATGCACTTCTTTACAAAGTAACATTTATGATTTGTTTTACATCTATTTGTTTTTCTTCCTTTTTCTACTGCTCAGTTGGATAGCAAATGGAGTTGTTGGTTCTCCTGCTTTTGCTGCATATGACCAAGGTGCGCCAATACTATTGAAATTCATTTGCACATTCTGAGTATTACACTCATTATTGCTGTCTAATAAAAAACAAAAATGCTTTTTTTGCTTGATTATTCAGGGTATGATGTGTTTCTCGGGAACTTCCGTGGCTTGGTATCCAGGGAACATGTTAACAAGAACATAACTTCCCGCCAGTGAGTGTTTATTCTGCCATATTCTTTCTTTGTTGGTTTATGCCTTTAGGATACATTTGGAACTCAGAAAATGGTAGGGAAAAGTGAAAAATTTGCCTTGGTCCTAAGGAAAACAGTTTTTTTTAACACCATATCTGTGGACTTCATATACGGAGTAAGAATCTACGTAAATCGAGAGTTTGGTCAAATATCTAAAACTGATTTATCTGGTTTGAACCAATTTTTAATATTCCCTGGAATTGTGTCCCCTTACGAATTTTTTATCTATTTGTGGGCTCCAGACGGATCCTGAACATTGTTAAATAAATATATGTAGGTACTGGTGTTATTCCATTAACGAGCACGGGGTGCAGGATATACCTGCAATGATCGGGAAGATTAACGAAATCAAAGTCTCCGAATTGAAATCTAACCAACCCAACTCGGAAGAAGAGACCAATAATGATCAGCCATACAAACTTTGTGCAGTTTGCCATAGCTTGGGTGGGGCAGGCATACTAATGTACGTCATAATGTGTAGGATTGAAGGAAAACCTCACAGGTTGTCGAGATTGATCTTATTGTCACCCGCCGGTTTCCACCACGATTCTAACCAGACTTTCACACTAATGGAGTACCTGTTCCTCTACATGGCTCCTGTTCTCAAACCCTTCATACCCGCTTTCTACATCCCCACAAAGTTCTTCCGCATGATGCTCAACAAGCTTGCCCGTGATTTTCATAACCTACCCGCGGTCGGAGGTCTAGTTCAAACCCTGGTTAGTTACGTTGTGGGTGGGGACAGCTCAAATTGGATCGGCGTTCTAGGGTTACCACACTATAACATGAACGACATGCCGGGGGTCTCATTTGTCGTGGCTCAACATCTTGCCCAAATCAAGCATTTGAAGAAGTTTGTCATGTTTGACTACGGGAGCAGAGACGAGAACATGAAAGTGTATGGTACGCCCGAGCCATTGGATCTCGGGGAGCATTATGACCTCATTGATATTCCTGTTGACCTTGTTGCCGGTCAAAAGGATAAGGTGATCCGATCATCCATGATCAAGAAGCATTACGACTTGATGAAAGACAGAGGCGTGGACGTGTCATATAACGAGTTTGAGTACGCACATTTGGATTTCACGTTCTCTCACCGGGAAGAACTTTTGGCCTACGTTATGTCTCGTTTGATGTTAGTTGATTCGTCACCGACTCCGTCTTCTCATACAAAACCGAAGAAACTAAAGAAGAAAGCAGTAGGTGCGTGTGTAAGTGGCAACACTAGTAACGTTGTTGCAACAAGTGCCTGAAAATCGCCTCAACTTCCCCTTTTTATTTGGTGGTTAGCGGGTTTTGGGTTGTTTGCCGTTCATCATGTATTGTATATCTGTTGTATCTGTATTGTGTACTACTATTTCTACTGCATGTACACGCAATAGTGGACAGTTGTGCTCTATAAAATCAGTCTGTAACAAATAGACCAGTTAGATTCTTTGTTTTGAACTGGGATTTTATCTGTACAAGTTGAAGTGAATGCACATGTACTATAGTATATGCTCTGCCATAAATTGGTCATTTTACTTCCACTTCTCTTACTCTATATATACTCCCTAGCTCCAATTTGTCAAGGGAGCTCCCCCATTTCCTCCTTTTTTTCATTCTTAGAATAGGTTTTTCTTCATCTTCAACCTTTAATTTTATTTTGGGGAGTTCCAACTTTAGATTTAACACTTGAATGTTTATTTTCTTGTTTCTTAGTGTTAGCTTTTACTTACTTCATCTCCTTCATGCTTTGTTTATGTGTTTCTCTCTTATCTTTTATGCATCTGTTTAGTTTAAGCATGCTAGGCTAGATTTTCTAACCTATGTTAGGGATGAAATGTTGATTTGTACTTGTTGTTGATGGATTAGGGTGAAATATGAGATATTGCTCTAGGTTGTTTGTAGGGATTATGCTATATCTATGCTTGGATGTTATTGTTGGCCACGATGGCATTCTTGTATTTCAGAGTAGATTCTAAATCACCAATGAATTGGGATTTAGAACCTTAGCCATGTGTCTCTACTCTCAAATCTTACCACGGAGGTGGAGGATACTTGAGGAATATGTTTGATGTGTTTGTAGTTCTCTTAAAACGATCGCCACAGAAGTGAGTTTTTATCAAAGAGATTCTTTCTCGATTTTCACGAAAGTGAGAATTGAGGTGATTTGCTCGCATTCTAGTTGATTTCTCATTTTCCTCTATTCCTTTGACTATAGCATTGTTAGCATGAAATTCCTGCTTGCTTTTCATTTACTTCTTGCATTTTATTGCATTAGTTTAGTTTCCACTCGCATATCATTGACTCTTTTATCTTTCTCTTCGGCATTGATTCACATTATACGATTCGAGATTGGTGTTTAGTTTCAATTTGTGCTGAATTCGTAACAAATCACGCTATCCCCGCGGATTCGACATCCCTTACCTCTACCACTATACTCATCCCTTACTTTTCTATATTCCATTTCATTTCACTTTCATCATCTTTTTGATCGGGGGTTTTCGGTATCAAACGACGTATCGAAAACATCCTTGTATCAGACGACCCGCTCAACATCAAGTCTGGTCTGGTGAGCGACATAAACTTCGAAGCCCCTGAAACACTACCGGATCTGACGAGCGTAATAATTAGAGATGGAATAGCGGTTCTTCCCGACCGGATCAATAGGAAGTTCATGGCGAGGCAACTCATCAGGAGGACCATCCGAGACTGCCTGCTTCGAACTCGAAAACGAGGAAGCACCCCCTCTGACGGGGGGTGTTCGGACTTGGCGTTTGATCCATTTGCAGTATGCGACTGACCCGACCCGACTGAAGTATATAATATTCGAATCCGACCGAAAAAATTAATATCCGAAACCGACCCGAAGATTTTAAAACTGAACCCGACTTTTGTCGGGTCGGTTTTCGGATATTAAATCTGACCGACCCGACCCGTACCCGACCGACCCGATAATTAACCCGAAATTAAAAGGCCTTTTTAAAATATAAAAAAACTTTTTTCAATTAAAAGTACAAAGCAAATACATACATGGAGTTGGACTTAAGCACTTGCACTTGCGGCTGTCTGGACTCTGGAACCCTAGTCGCACCTGAGATCTCCGTTTCTCGTATCCGCAGCCGGCACTCCGCAGCCTTCCTACCGGCGAACACATCGGCGAATCCGGCGATTCTTCTCATTCTCCATCGGCGACCACAGTGCACAGAGGCAATCTCAGGTGAACTCTCTCTTCCTGCTTTTCCTTCCATTCCACTGCGGTTGTTTATTCAATCAATTTGCTTTCTGTTCTGTTCATTATCTTGTGTAAATTTGGGATCTTTATATATATCGTCATGGGTGTAAATCTCAAAATGAATTTCTTTTTTTTTTTTTTGAATTTTCGCGAATTTCTTGGTCAGTCGGTCGGGTCGGTCAGTCGGGTCGGTCGGTTTTCAGGTCGGGTTAGGCTTAGGTTTTTGTCAAATTCTCGGGTTCGGTTGCGGTTTCGGGTTTCGGTTTAGAGAGTCGGGTTCGGGTAGGATTTTATACCCGACGGTTCGGGTTCAGGCAAAAAAAAACATCCGATCAAAATTTCGGGTCGATTTCGGGTAAAGGTATATCCGAACCGAACCCGACCCGTTGCCATCCGTAATTGTAACTTTAGAAGTATAAATTCTACTACGAGTATAAAAATAGTTCGTACTTTGACCGGAACCAAAACCCAAAATTCCAATGGAGACAGAATCTGTAAGTCCGGTCCATTCCCAAGACTCCCTAAGACCTAAGAGGGACTGAGGGAGTAGTACGGAAGACGGCTGCATGCGATCGAACGTTTCCCCGTCGGATGTCGCCGTCGGTGTTCATAGAAAAGTTTTACAGTACTTCTGTTTCTCAGCTTCCAGGTAAATCTGCATATCCCTATTGCTCTTTTTCGATTTCAATCCCGCCCAAACCCTGAATTCTTGCCAAATTGCGAAGAGCTAAGGAAGTCAGACGATGGAATCGATGAACCAGATTATTCAGTTTTTTCATTGAATCTCCAGACCTTCACAATCCCTACCTGGGCTCCGAGCATTGAAACCTCAACCCTTGATTTCTCCATGAAGGAGCTCAAATCATAGGTCATGTCCAAAACTCTAACCCTAATTCAGGACTTTCTATTTCTCCGTGAATGGGAAATTGATCTCAGATTCTACCCCATCTGAAAACTCCGTTATTTGCACCTCTCTCCACCTTAACCATGCGTCTCCGCCTCATTGGTGGAGGGGGTGATGGCGGCGCCACAGGGGAGGAGACTCGCCACTGTTACCTTAAAATGTATGCTATCGAGAAACCAACAGAATTGACCCGAACTAGCAGAGGCTATCAAAGTGGTTATAGTAGCCTAGATTTTGGGGCTTTTGATGGGAAGTTCGCTGATAGATTTTGGGGCTTTTAAATGTTGTGAAGTTTTCTGATAGATTTTGGGCTTTTAATGCCTAGATTTTGGGGCTTTTAATTGATGTAAATTTTTCTGATAGATTTTGGACTTTTTAATGCCTAGATTTTGGGGCTTTTAATGCCCAGATTTCAGGGATTTAAGTGCCTAGCATCAGCTTAATTCGTAGCATCAGTTTACACAAAATTCCTGGTTGCAATTGTCTTGTGATATGTATGTATACAACTGCTTATGTGTTTATCTATGTGTGTTAAGATATAAGGAATGGGGTCTGGATATGAATAATTTGCACATCTAGCCTTGGATGAGTGGAAATATTTGACCGACAGGTTGACCGCTGCCAATAAGATGCTCTATGCAAAATCGGATGAAGAGAAGAAAGAATTTGTAGCCATTATGAACCAGATTCTGAAACTGAGCTTGTCCAAGCTGAGAATAGGTAATAATACTTGTATTTAAGCAAATATATGCAGAGTATATTGACTAAATTGTGCACTTTTTGCTAAAACTTATTTTCAATGTGCTGGTCCCTCAGTAAGTGGTCCAATCTTCGCGCACAAAAGAGCTAGAAGTTCCTATTTCTGATTGTCACGAGGAGACAAATGAATCTTCTCAGCATGAAAATAAAGGTCATCATCGGTCTAGAGGTGACAATGAATTTTTTACACTTGAGGTCCAAGACGATGGAGGTAATGGGATGGATGATGGCGGGAGTGAGTGTAACGCCTTGAAATATACCCTAAAAGTTATAATGAATTTCTAATAAAGTATAATTCTAAATTTTGTTTAAATAAAATGAAATTTATAACGACGACACTAAAGTGAGTTATTATAGAAGCAATCTTTTTGTGGTCAATTTATACTCGAATGGAAAGTCTTGATGAGACGAGTTCAACGGCGTATCGTGCTTGCGAATTTGAGTTACGGAAATTAGGGGTTTGACCGTCCTAACACCAAAGGGATTATAAAGAAAATGAATAAAATACAAATATAACGTAGAAATGATATTATCTAACACATTTTGGATTTTTGGATAGGTTTCGCGAATTAAGAAATAGAAACCCAACCTACTCCCACTTTAAAGTTATCAATATTAATACCTACGGGGTAATTCTTTAATTGGGGGGAGTATATACGAAGCCACATTCTGTTCTTCGGGAATGTCGACGATCGCCACCATCCATCCTCATCGCCTTCTTCTTTGCCGATTGAACACCAGCCCGCCAACCACCTTTCTTCTTCGTCGCTGGGGAAAGGGGGAAACGAGGCACCGGGGCCGCAAGGGCGGGCAAAATTGCCGCTGATTCAGCGCCATCGTCGATCTTTAATTTGTGATTCGTGTTCATCAATCGATCGAGGTGAGTACCTGAACACTCTACCGTTAGAATTCGTAATTGTTTACAACACTAATTATACCCGTAGATATATATGGTTGTGTGTAACTTGAATTTAATTGGAGAGTTGGAGTTGACAACTGAATGGTTAGGGAACTAGGAAATATGGTATATTGATTTATGTTATATGCTAGAATTTACATGACTTGAGTTGCTTGTATATGGTTTGTAATGGAATAATTCCATGAATTGCTTAGAAGACAAATCAAGGGATTGACAAGCTGGGCTTTGCAATTACAGTAGTGTGTAGTTTGTTTGAACTATGCGTGCAGGTACGGATGGCCCAAAGTTGTTGAATCTGGATTAATTACTCATTTGACTTTATTTTATTTAAATTAAAAAAATGTTTAATGATTTTGTTTTAAAAGGCTTTTGCAACGTTCAATTTACTTTACTCCGATTAAACTATGTTTTGTTTTTAAAATATTAGGCATGTGAATACCAAATTTGTAACAACCCGATTCGCTAGCTCATTGGTTCGGGTTATGCGAATTGGGGTGTTAGAGTGGGGCAGCTGATGGAGGAAGTGTGGCAAATTTGGAGGGTGTTGGGCTGTGGATGGAGGGTGTGGGGCTGCAAATGGAGGTTGTGGGGCTGCAGATGGAGGGAGTGATGCAGTTGATGGAGGGAGTGGAAGAGCTAATGGAGGGAGTGGAGTAGCTAATGGAGGGAGTGGAGCAGCTGATCGAAGGAGTGAGTCTGCGGATGGAGGGAGTGGTGCAGTTGATG